GTTGCTTCTGCACGCGGATTTCATTTCCCTGGGCGTGCGGCTGGTGGCGGGGTTGCCGGGTCTCACTGCTGTTCTATTTTTAATTCTGGGGGACCCTCGCGCTGTTTCCCGCACCATTTTAAAGTGTGCTTAGGGGCTGGCCTTGTGGGGTTGTGGGCAAAGCTGCCACCTGCAGTTCTGCCATCCCGTACAGGCCCCGGTTCGAGTCCCAGCTGCTCCATTTCCAATCCAGCTCCCTTTTAATGCACCTGGGCGAGCAGTGGAAGATGCCCAAGTGCCTGGGCCCCTGCACCCGCGTGGGAGACCTGGAAGAAGCTCCTGGCTCCTGGCTCCGGATCAGCCCAGCTCCGGCTGTTGCAGCCATCTGGTCAGTGAGCCAGCAGGTGGAAGATCCCTGTCTCTCCTCTCCCTCTAACTCTGCGTGTCAAATAAATAAATCAACCTTTAAACAGCCAGAAATACGGTGCAGCCCCCGCAGCTGCCTGCCAGCCACTCCCTCTGCACTCTGGCCCCCAGCGACCACCAGGCCGGGTGTCCGGGACACTTCTCAGTGCTGCAACCACAGGCCGGTTTCTTCCCCTGGCCTGGCTGCGTCCCGAGGTCCCCCCACTGTCCCTGGCCAGGGCTTCGTTCCTTCCCATGACTGGACGGCGCCCCTGGTCTGCGGCAACCCCGTTGTGTGTGGGCTTCTGCCGCTGGGCGTGTTCCAGCAGTGGGGAGCCGCACACAACATGGCCGCCGCCAGGGAAGGCAGAGGCGGATCTGGGGGCTGGGGGTGCTTCCGTGCCCCCCAGCTGGCACTCAGGACAGGCGACGACTCTGCGAGCCGCGATGATGGTGCCCACGTGGCCTGAGACACCACAGAACGTCCAGTGTCGAGTGACCCCTGGTGCGCACTGGACTCTGGGATTGTGACGTGGCCGGGGCGGTGGGGGGGGCTGGGGCACGTGGGGACTCTGGGGGCCTTTGTCCAGGCCACTGGGAGCTGTGGGCGTTTCCTGAGTGGGTGCCTGGGACAGCCCCAGGCCACCTATTTGCCTCTCCTTGAATCACAAAACAAAGCAAGTTTTCTTGTCCAGGTGGCCCCTGGCCTCCCCCTGGCTCCTGCCTCTCCCTGCCCCCCCACTCACCATACCAGGTGGGGCCTGCCCCCCACCCCCAGGTCCTGTCTGAGGCTGGGCCCGGCCGCCCCCAGGGGAGGGGACCCCCTTTTCCTTTAGGAGCGGTGGGGAGGGCCGGAGCTCCGTGGCTGTCCACCAGCCCAGCAGTCCTGGGGGCCGGGACAAAGGCCCCAAGGCCGCCCCTGGACATGTCTCTGTGCGGGCAGCTGGCGGGGGAGGGGCTGGCGCCCATTCTGGCCCCCGCCTCTCTGGGCCGCACGTGCCCGTGGGCCGCAGCCTGAGCCGGGGTTTCCTGCCATTGTCCAGAGCCGGGCTCGGCTCAGGAAGCTGCGATCCCCAGGCCAGGCCTGGCTGGGTGGGGGCGGGCTGGCGCACATCCTGGCTGAGTCCAGCAGAGTCACGTGGGGCTGCGTGGTGGCCGGTGGCTGTGGCCCTAATCCCCCGAGGTGGAGAGAGCCTGCCCTGCAGAGTGACCGCCAGGGCCTGGGGCAGAGACAACCCCACGTCCCCCTCCCCCCGCCCACCAAGGGCCCAGGGCCCCTGCACCTCGTCACCCACGGGGGCGGCTTGCTGGGTGTCCTCGGCCTGCCGCGGCCACTGGCCTCCCAGAGCCAGGGCTGGGAGGCGGCAGAGCGTGCAGGGCTCTGCTGGGGACCTGGGCCCGGACTCTTCGCCGTGTGCCCCGCAGGGCTCAGGCCGGAGCCTCTCTGGGCACAGTGGGGCTCCCGGTGAAGCCCTCCGGGCCTGCTGCGTGGCGTGAGGGCTCCCCACACAGGGTCTGGCCTGTGCTGGAGTTCAGAGCATGGACAGAGACCCAGACAAGATGGGGGCTTATCTGAGACCACCCAGGACCCTGCCCAGACAGAGCCCCTGTGTCCCAGCACTGCCTGCTGTCCCCAGACTGCTGGGCAGGGTCCTCGTCTTCCTGGTCCCAGCCCGCCGTGGCCCAGGCCGGGCCAGGCCGGGCGCAGCGAGGAGCTGGCTGTTCTGAGAACATTCCAGGTGGCGGCCGGTGGTCACGGCACATCCTGGGGCCCCCTCAGCCGGGCCAGCACCGCCTGAGCTGGGCGGGTGCCGTGAGGGCAGGGGCTCTAGGCCGGCCTCCTGCGCCCGCCCGCCGGCCCAGCCTCTGACACCAAGCGGGGCGGTCAGGCTCGCCGGGCACCGGCACTTGGTGTCCTTGCTCTGCCTGCAGGCGCCTGTTCGGGGGAGGGCACAGACCTGGCTCTGGAATGCAGCCTGCGTGCCAACGCCCAGGCCCGGGCACTGGCGGCAGCCTCGGGCGAACCTCGGCCCCTCCCTGTGCTCACGCTGCCCTGCGGGAGGGGGGGGCAACCCTGCTTCAGGGGGGCCTTGTGCCCGGCAAGGGCAGCTCCCGGGAGTCCCCTGCTCCGTCCGCCCGCCCACGGGCCTGGCAGGACCAGGAACCACTGGCTGGGGATGGGAGCTCGGGCACTGGCCGTGGAAAGCACGGAGTGAGTCGTGGACATGACAGCCACCGCAGGCCTGCTCCCGCCGGCCACGGGGCGGGGCCTTCCGTGGGCAGGGCTGTCTGTGGCACAGGGCGCCTCGAGGCCACGCTCAGGGGAGCCCCGCAGGGCGGCAACGCCTCCCGCCCCCGCCACCACACACAGCGGCGGGAGCAGGGCCGGGCACTGCGGCTCAGATTCGGGATTCCCTCTGAGCTGGCTCCGTTTGTGCCACGGCACAAGCTACACCCCCGTGACGGCCGTGGGCCCCGGGGTCACCTGGCAAAGACCCACAGCCCCCAGCCCGGCCCTCTGCAGCCCCCAGCCCGGGCAGCGCCGGCCCGCCCCCAGGAGCCCCGTGGACGCCCGGGCCCTGAGAGGCCGGCAGGGAGAGCCCGGCTTCCTGCGCGCCGCCGCTGACGCGGTCGCCTCCCCCCACCAGGGCGGCCATTGTTCTCCGGGCCCCTTCCCGATCTCCCCGAACACTCACTTCCTGTTCTCCAGGCCCCTTCCCGATCTCCCCGAACACTCACTTCCTGCTTCCGGTAGGAAACAGAGATTTCTGGTGGGGCCGGGCAGATGCTGGGTCCTCCCTCCTTTCTAAAGGATGTTAAAAAATAGACCGTGGGGGCTGGGGGGGCCAGGGCCCAGACCGTCCACCACACGGCCAGGGCTCCCGAGACCCCCCACGGCCTGACCGACACCCAGCTGAGGCGCGAGCCGCGGCCCTGGCCGGAGCCCCACGCCCACCCGAGCAGGGGCAGCCTTGGAGACGTGGGCTCCCGGGAGGGTCTCCCCAGCTCCACCCCGAGGGCTGCTGCCTCCAACCACTCGGAGCAGCGGGCACCCACGGTGGGGGGCTGCTGAGGCCTTGGGCTAGGACCCGGCCCCACCAGCCGCGGGCTCATGGCCCGAGCGGTGTCGGTGCCTGGCCACTCGCGAGCCCCACAGCACTCAGCCGGCCTGGGCCCCCGGCTCCCGGCTCTCCCCCTGGGGCAGGCGCATCTGGCTCCCAGTGGGGGCAGGGCTGCTGCACCCTCACCGCCCCCACACCCTGACTTCCTTTCCTGCCCGGGGAGATAAAGTGCCCCCCGCCCGGGTTCACGGCACAGAGGGGCTTCCGCCCAGGACGCCTGCCAGGTGCGAGGGCGGCCCCCTTCCTCAGCCGTCACGGGGAGCTCACAGGGCTGGGAGCAAGCCCTGGCCACGGGGGCTGGCCGCAGCTGCATGGGGTCCCCGCGTGGGGCTGCCCTGCTCGGGAGGGCCCACCCGGGGACCCCGCACCCCCAGTTTCACTCCCTGGAGCGTGGGACAGCCTGAGTCACTCCCACGCTTCAGCACTGAGACCCCACTGGTGCCTGCAGTGTCGCAGTCGGCACAGAGGCTGCGGTGACACGGGCAGGACTGCGAGAGCCGGCGGGCGAGGGACACTGCGAGGGCGGCTGGGGCGGCGGCTCCCCGAGGGCCAGCCCGACGTGACGCCCCAGAGAACCAAGTCTGTCCACCTGTCCGTCCGCCGCGGGCCTGAGAGCCCGGGCATCCTGCGGGTGCACACGCACTCGGCTCTCCGCCACGCCCCAGGCTGAGGATGGCTGAGGGCGCCATGGCCCTGGGCGTATGGCGGCGGGGGTTCCTCTCCCAGCTGGCGTGAATGCCCACGTGCTGTCCACCCCCACCCCCGCACCTCGCTGTGTGCACGGGAACCGGCTGTTCTCCAGTGGAGCCCGGGTGTGGGGTCTGACGTCACCTACGAGAGACTGGACTTCAGGAGGGGGCTGCAGAGGGGGTCACGACCCACTGGGCACGAGTGGCAGGGCGCCCTGGGACAGGAGACCTGGGCCAGGGTGAGGGCCGCGGGGGCAGCAAGGGGACAGCCGGGTTTGTTCAGGAGCCAGACTCCTGAACAAGGACTCCGGCCACGCCTCAGCCCGAGAAGTGCGTGGGTGGCCCCGAGGCAGGGAGCAGGGGCCGAGGGCTGAGCCCCGGGCCCTGTGTCCAGTGCCTCTGTATCCCAAGAGCTGGCCCCAGGCAAGCGGCCGACGAGGGGGCTTCTCAGCTCGGGGTGCTGTTACGTGAGGCTCTGCGCACACGGGGGCTTCTAACAGACACGCGGTGCTGAAGGAGAGGACACGGCAGGGGATGGACGGAGCGAGCGGGCACCGCCGCGGACGCCTTGCTGCCCGGCGGACACCCGCTTCTCCCACCCTCCCTGCTCAGCCTGCGCAGCGCGTGGGGCTCGTGCTGCACCCGGCTCGGCCGCCTCCCTCCCAGCCCCGCCGAGAACCGGTCGCTGAGCCAGGCGGGCCTTTGACGGGAAGGTCCGGCCACTGTGGCGGTCCTGACCCGCGGGTCGGGTGCTCTGGGGGCAGACAGGAAGCTCCATCCCTCCACGGGCTGTGCGCCGTCCCTCCTTCCTGCGGCCGGGCTCACACGGCCACCCGTGCCCTCCGCCGCGTGCGGCCTGGGATGCCCCTGCTCGCCCTGCTGCGGGCTTGGTCTTTCCTCTCCTGGGGCTGCAGAGCCCAGAAGCTCAGCAGTGAGGGGTCCGACGAGGGGCCTGGGGAGGCCTGGGGGGCTCTGGACCACTGCCCCCGCCCCTCCTCCACTGTCCCGCCCCGACCGGCACATCTGGGAAGGTAAGGCAGCTGCCGGCACAGCCAACGCCAGGAACATCAACAGGAGGGCCCCCACACGGCCCAGCCCCGCCAACAGGGGGCCACATGGGGGACGGCCCCGGGCTGGGGCGTGAGCGGGGCTAGGACTGCCCCCACTGTCCTGCCCCTGGGCCTCCGTCCCGGGCTGGCCTCCGAGGAGCCGGGAGGGGGCCAGGCACCGGGCACAGCGGGCAACGGGCACTACTGCCAGCCCCGCCCCCACCGCTGCTGCCCAAGTGGAGGCGAGGCTTCCTGTTGTGTGTGGGGGGGTGGGCGCCTTCAAGCTGGGGGCGGGGGAGGGGACATAGCCCCAGCAGAGCCCCCTGGGCCTAGAGCACAGAGCCCATGGCACCCTGGGGGTGCCCGTGGGGCAGAAAGTGCTGAGTCAGCACCCGCCTCTGTCCTCTGCCACCCCGTACCACCCTGTCCCTGAGGTGCCCCTAGCACTAAGACCCCTGCCCACCGGCCTCTGCCCCCGAGGGCCCCAGGAGGCCGGCATGACGGGGCTGGCGCTTTGGGGAGCCGAGCAAGGGCCCTCTTCCTGGGTGGTTCTGGGCTGGGGCAGGGCAGAGCTGGTGGGCAGCAGGCGGGGTGCGGGCCCCTCACTGCCGGCACCCAGCAGCCCTGCACCTGCAGGGCAGGTGGGAGGAACCTAGGACAGGGAACCTCCCCTGCAAGTCCGCCATTCAGTCCAGCAGAGCGCTCCCCGGAGGCAGCCCGTCCCCGTAGCCTGTTCCGTCCTGGCTGCCGGCTCCCAGGGGCAGGGGTCTCGCCCAGGGGAGTCCTGATCCCACCCACCTCTGCCCTGCCCTCTCCTGGGCTGCTTCTCTCTCTCCCAGCCTTGGTTTCCCCTCTGCACACAAAACCAGGCTGGCTCCAGCCCCAGGGGGTCAGGGCAGATCCCTGGGGTGGGGGCCGGGGAGGGGAGGGGCAGGCGGGGCAGGGGCACCTCCTGAGCAGCTGAGCTCTCCGTAGAGAGAACGGGGCCCAGCGAGGTGAGGGGGTGCTGAGGGCGTGGCCAGTGAAGTGAGGCTGGACCCCGGCTGGGGGCGGCTGATGCAGGACAGATGGGGGGGCTGCAGCCTCGGGGGGGCACCTCCCGAACACGGCCCCCAGCTCCCCGTGCTCAGACCGGCATCTGAGCACCTCCAAACGCCACAACCACCCCGCAGCTGCTCTGTCCCCCGGAAGAGAAGGGGCAATGCAGGCCGTCCCACGCGGCAGGGCTGGACGCCCGGGGCACGGACCACAGCCTGGCACCTGCAGTGGACGCATCTCTGGCCACGGGGTGGGGTGGGCGCTGGTCCCCGGGGATGGTGACAGGGCCAGTGGCAGAGGGGACATGTCCCTCCTGTCCTCAGCGGTCCAGGAGGGGTGGAGTTCTCAAGCTGTGCAGCTGGGTGGGGCCTGAGAGACCTGGGGGCCAGACAAAGGGAGGCGGTCCCAGGCAGCGGGCAGCAGGGGCTGAGCCTGAAGTGGGCTCCAGCCCGGGGACACTGGGGCCAGCGGGGCTGCCCATGGAGCAGCCCGTGGCCTGGGCGCGTCCTCTGCAGCTGCCCCGTGCACCCCGCATCCTCCCGCCCCACCATTGTCCCGGCGACTGCTCCGTGGCCTGTGGGCTCCCGCGTCTCCCTAAATGGGGGTGCAGAGGCCGGGGCCACAGGCACTGCCTGAGCACCCCAGGTGGCCAGAAAGGCCCCACATTCCTGCTGCACCCCCAGCCCGCTGGCGTCTGCTGGGAGAGTCCAGGAGGGGTCTGGGGCCGGCCCCGCGGCCCCCTGGGAGGCTGGGGCTGTGCCTCTTGGCTCTGCTTGCACCCCTGTCCTGGGGTCCTGGATAAGTCCCTCCCATCACCCCCACTGTGGCCAGCACTGGCCCCTAGGCCCCTCTCTTGGACTGCCCAGCCTGTCATGCCCACCCCAGCCCCTGCCGCCCCTGCCCCGGCCAAGGCTCCAGCAGTGCCGGTCCCTCTCCTGGGCGGCTGTCCCTCTGGGCTCCCACGCGATGTCACACACATCTTGGGGACCCGAGGGGAGGGCCCAGGGTCCTGTGGCCCAAAGATACAAAAGGTCTGCACTGCTGGCCTGGGAAGTGTGGCCTCTGGCCCTGGCTCCATGTCCCCTGTCCCACGCTGTCCCAGGGTCACCGGACAGGCCGAGCAGAGCCAAGCCTGCCTCTGACTGCTTCAGGGCCACACTCTGAAGTCCCAGGGGATGGCTCCCCCTCCCCAGCCGGGGCCCCCGCCCGCCCCCCGGCCTCCTGTTTGTTCGCAGACAGCTCCCGTTATCAGCAGAGAACACACACAGGAAGTCCGGCCGGGAAGGGCCCGTCCCAATCCCGATTTACGGGGGACGGAGCATAAAAAGCCGCCCTTCCTTGGCCGGGAGGAGCCTCCCCGGCCGCAGCGTCCACCCGCTCACGAGATGCAGGCTGCAGTGCGGTGGACAGGCGGGCAGTCCTTGGGAGGGCGGCCGCTGGGCTCCAGGCTCCGGCACGGGGCAGGGTCGTGGCGGTGGCCATGGCCAAGCCTCGGCCCAGGCAGCATCAGGTATGGCGGGGGGCCCTGGAGGGGCAGGGAGCGGGCAGGGCTCTGGAGCCTGCTCCCTGGACGACGGTGCCGTCCCCACTGCGCACGGGGGCCCTGGGAGGAGCATCCTTGGCTGAGCGAGCACCTACCGGGGGCGGCCCGGTCTGGATCCCAATGCTGTCATCCCACGGTGACGCCGGAGCCCCAGCTGCCCAGGGGCTGCCGCTGTGGCCCGGCACCCTTCCTTCCCCTTGACCTCCCACCTCTGACCCCACCCCGCTTCCCTGGAGAAGCCCCCGGGGCGGCTGTGAGGCTGAACCCAGCAGGGGGGCTGGGTCCCTTCACTCGCCTCTTCCGAGCCCCGGGGGGCACCAAGGGCTGGTGCTGCCTGTTTCCCCGGCAGTGGAGGCGCACTCTCGGTGGGGGGGCATTGGGGAGGGGGCTTGGCCCCAGAGGAAGGAACCCCAAAGCCGGATCTATGGCCAAGATGCTCCCCTGCTGGGCTGGACTTGGGGTGCCCATGCCTCGGCAGGGGTGTGCACGGGCAAACGGGAGACCCTGTCAGCCCTGTGGACCCGGGGTGGGGGGTCCCACGCTCTCCCTCTCTCTCAGGCTCCGCCCTGAGCAGCTGAAGCCCCATCCCAGAGACCCCCGAGCCCCAAAGCTGCCACAGGCCTCCCGCTTCCCCCACTGTGATCTCAGAAGAGCAGGCAGGAGCTCAGGCCTCGGCCCCAGGCCGGACAGAGGCTCAGGCAGCAGAGGGCGGCAGGGATGTCAAAGGTCAGGCGGCCACAGGTCGGGGGGTGCCCAGCCAGCCCCCACAGCGGCGGGCCCTTCCTGGGGACGTGTGTCTGTCTCACCGCACAGAGCCGACAGCGAGAGCTCCAAATGGCACTGTCCGGTGGGCAGGCGGCCGGCTGGCACAGGCTCAGCTTGGAGCATGGTGGGGCAGACGGGTGGCGGGGGCTCAGGAGGGGGTCTGCAGGCCTGGGGCGGCCCGAGGCTGGACCCGGGGCCCATTCCCAGGCGGTGGTCATCAGAAGGACCAAAGCTCTGCCAAGGCACTGACCCACGCCCCGTGTCTGGCCTGCAGGTCCCGGCACTGCCCGGAAGCGCAGCAGCCGCCAGTGTCCGGGGAATGACGAGCCGCCCCTTGGCAGGTGAGTGGGCAGCCCTGTGGCGCCTCTGACCGGGGCCCAGGCTCGGGCTCCAAGGACTGGGGAGGTGATGCACACCCTGGGGTCCCCCGCTAGGAACTCAGAATGGGAGTGACCACAGGGCTGGGAGGACGTCCTGGGCTGCGGAGCGACCCCGGGGAGCACGGGGGTGGCCCTGCCGTCCCCCCCACGCTGGCCGTCCCAGCAGCTCCTACTCTGGCCCTGCCTGTGATCTTGGGCCAGTCCGGGTCTCTGGGCCTGGGGGTGGGGGTGTCCACACCCCTACCCTGCCCACAGCTCCAGGGACGTCATTGGTCGCCAGCTCCCAGGGTGGGATCTGACCCGGCCGTCAGTCTGGGTGCTCTGAGCCGTGAGCCGAGGCACCCCCACCCCACGTCCCAGAGGCCACACTCCCCGCAGCGACTCCCGGGGTGGGGTGCGCTCAAGCAGGGGTCGCAGCCCCGACTGCTCGCTGACTCACTGCCCCGCCGCGGGGCCTCAGTTTCCCCATCGGCGCAATGGGGGCGGGGCGAGCCGAGGCCAGGGTTGAGGGGGCCGCGAGCCCACGGGGGGGGGGGCGGCGGGGGCAGGGCTCCGGCAAGGCCGCCAGGTGGGGCGGGGCCGGGGGCGGGCCGGGGCGGGGCTCAGGGCCCCCACAGCGCGGGCTCGCGCGGCAGCGGCGGCGGCGCGTGCGCGCCCCAGATCGGCGGTGAGTGCGGAGGAGCCGGGCGCGCGGGCGGGGGGCGCCGGGGTGGGGGTCTGCTCGCCGCTCGGCTGCGGGCGGCGGCGGAACCCTCGCGGCGGGAGAGGCTGGAGAGCCGCTGGGCGCGGCGGTGGGGGCGGCCCCGGGGGGCGGGCGCAGAGCGATCGCGGGGACCCGGGAGGCGAGGGCCGGGGGCGCCCGCACCCCCAGTCGGGTCCGGAGAATGGGCCGGTGGCCGTGGGGCGCGGCTCCCCCTGCCGGTGACGCCGACGCTGCCGGCCTGCGGGGGGCGGGGGCGCCGCAGCCCCCTCCCTGCCCGGGGCGCGCGCATCCACCAGGGCCCCTGGGCCGGGACCCCGCAGCCCAGTCCTGGGGGGCCGCCGACGCCGCCCATCTTCCCGCCCCCATGGGGTTGGCCGTGCAGGGGAGGGGGCGGCGGAGGGGACGCCCCCACAGAGGCCGTCGGCTCGCCCCGCACCTGACGTCCCGGTGCCCTGTGGCCCCGGGCTCCCCCTCCTGGGGCGTGGGGGGCGGGGGCGCGGGGGGCGCCACTCGAGGGGCCAGGCCGGGGGTCGCTCAGCGCCGCGACACAGACGGGAAATGAGATTTGCCGAGGCCAGCAGCGGCTCCTGCTCCTCAGCCCAGTTCCCTTTCCAGACGGGATCACGAGGGCCTGGACGGGCGTGCGTGGGGCCTGCGGCTCTGCCTGGCACCGCTGCCCCCTGCCCACTGCCAGGCCTGCCCTTAACGGAGCCCCCAGGACCCCCACCCGTGCCCCGACACCTGCACCCCCCAGAGGACCCTGCCCTCGCCTCCCTTGCACACGGTGGGGCCTGGCCAGCAGCCAGGGATGGGCACCTGCCCTTGGGGTCACTGTTTAGGAGCCGGCCTGTGAGCCACCGCAGGGGCCACGGGGAGCTTGGAGCTGGACAAGCTCTACCCCAGGCAGTGGCCGGCCTGAGGCTGGGGGAAGGGCAGCCCCCACCGTGAGAGCCCGGCACTGGCCTCCCCGGCCCCCAGGCCCCCTGACTGACCAGGATGCGCCTGCCACCCTTCCCCCCACTCCCTTCGTGGCCACATTCTGGCCTGGGGTTTCTCACATTCTCAGGAAGTCTGGCCAGGCCTCCTGGCTCCCCCCACCCCACAGTGGCTCTGTCCCCCTTCCCCGCCCCTCCCCACGTGGGCCTCCGGCGTGGCTGCTGGCCCGGCCACAGGTGCACTCCAGAGGGGAGGGGCCCCTCCTAACTGCAGCCGCTCCCCACACCTGCGCCCTGAATCCACGGGTCCCAGCCGGCGGGGCTCCCGGTGGCCCGGGACGGCCCTCGCCGACCGGGAGTGGGGTGCAGCCGGCCCTGCCCCGCCGTTACCAGGAGGACACTCACCCTGTGCCCCAGCTTCCCGGCCTTGGGGGCCCCAGGAGCCCCCCGTGGGGGCCCAGCATCTGTGGCTGGTGCTGCGTGGAGGGCAGAGCGGGCACTGTTGGGGGCTCAGCCCCTGTGGGGGAACTCACGGGCTGCTCCTTTGTGTCCAGGCCGCCCCGCGTGCAAGGCCATCCCAGCCGGACACCCCGGCCATGTGGGGCTCCCGGGAGCTGCTCCTGGTGTGGTTTCTGGTGCTGGCGGCTGGCGGCACCGAGCACGTCTACCGGCCCGGGTGAGCAGGGCCTGGGAGCCTGCACCTGTCCCCCAGCAGCCCCGAGACCTGGGGGCCGGGGGCCGCTCTGCTCTGGGGCTCTGGGGCGGGGAGGGCCCTGGCTCCGCCCCCTCCGACCCCCAGCTTCCCCTGCCTCCGTAGCCGCAGGGTGTGTGCGGTCGGGGTCGCCGAGGCGCCGGAGTCCTTCGTGCAGAGAGTGTACCAGCCCTTCCTCACCACCTGTGACGGGCACCGGGCCTGCAGCACCTACCGGTGAGGCCCCAGCCACGCGGCCCCGGGACAGCTGGGGGCGGGGCCAGTGAGGAGAGGGCCCGCCCCCTCCGCTTTTGGCCACCTGCCCATCCAGCTCTGCAGACTGCCCAGTTCTCATTCCCCTGGGATGCCTGGCTCGGGCGGCCCGGCCTGGAGACCCCCGAGCCCGCCCACCTCGCCCTGCGCCGGAGTGACCGGCCTCCAGCAGTGTGTGAGGGGCCGGCCCCGGGGTGGGGGGGAGCCATTGGCCACCCAGGGCTCAGGAAGGAAGCGGTGGAGTGGGGCCCTGTGGGAGAGGCTCTGGGCCCAGCTGCCTCCTCTGGTAGGAGGCCCCAGGTCCTAGGCCACCGCCTGCAGTGGCCACCGTGCAGTGCCTTGGGCCAGCTGGGCCATCCCTGGGGAGATGGCCTGTCTGCTCTGGGCCTCGGCTCCAGGTGTGCCTCACGTGGGGACAGCCCCTGCTGGGCCGCTGCACTGCCTGGGCCCCTCTGAGCCGCCCCCCTCGCCCCCAGGACCCTGTACAGGACTGCCTACCGCCGCAGCCCGGGGCCGGCCCCAGCCAGGCCTCGCTATGCCTGCTGCCCCGGCTGGAGGAGAAGCAGTGGGCTCCCCGGGGCCTGTGCAGCAGGTGAGGGCGCCCTGAACCCGCCACCTGCTGCTCTCCTGTCCCCCGGGAAGCACCCCGCCGCCAGCCTTCCCCCTCACTCGTGGGGCCCTGGGGACCCAGAGTGGGTATGACAGACCTCCCCCGCCCACAGCCGTATGCCAGCCGCCGTGTCGGAACGGAGGGAGCTGTGTCCGGCCCGGCCGCTGCCACTGCCCTGCGGGATGGCGGGGTGACACCTGTCAGACAGGTGAGGCTGGCTCCGCCCTGGGGGCCCCTGGAGAGGCTTCTCCCTGTAGGGCCTGCGGTCCCTGCAGCCGTGGCAGGCGGGCCTCCGGAGGGGCCGGCTGCGGCCCTGCCCCATCTGACGCCCCGCTCCCTGTAGACGTGGACGAGTGCAGCTCTGGCAGGTCCGGCTGCCCCCAGCGCTGTGTCAACACCGCCGGAAGCTACTGGTGCCAGTGCTGGGAGGGGCACAGCCCCTCTGCGGACGGGAGGCTCTGCCTGCCCGAGGGAGGGGCCCCCAGCTCGGCCCCAAGCCCGCCGACAGGTGACTCAGCCCCCCCCCCCGCTTTGCTGGGCCTGGGGAGCTGGCTGCTGGGGGGTGGCGTCTCCCTGGGGCTCGCCTGCACTTGGGGGGGGGGAGCAGGGGCCCCAGGCTCAGACTGAGGCCCGGGCTCCCGCAGGTGCCACGGTGGGCGGGGGCCTCCCCCGGGACGGGGAGGGGGGCGGCTCTGGGTGGGGGTGGGGGCCTCGTCTCAGCCCCGTGCAGGCCCCAAGGCCTGGAGGACACCGGCCGCGCCTCGCTGGTGATGGGACATTATTACTTTCGGTACGCGCTGTGCCACTTCAAACTCGTACCGTGAGTAATAATGCGCCGTCAGCAGCCCAGCACCGCAGCGCCGGGCACCGCGAGGACCTCCCGGCGCCCCGCCCAGCGCTCTGCCTGCCCGACTCAGCCCCTCATCTGCCCCCAGGGGCGGACGGTGCCGTGAGGGAGGAGGTGCGGCAGCTGCGGGCCAGGGTGGACGCGCTGGAGCAGGTGAGGCCCCGACGCTCCCTGGGACACGGCTGTCACCCGCGGGGTGGGGGTGGGGCTCCCTGTAAGGACCCTGTCCCAGGGGAAGCATCCTGGCTGCTGTCAGCCCTGGGGACTCCCCGGGACGGGACCCCCCCACTTCACCTGTCCACACCAGGACGGTCCTGTGGGGCCTCCCAGCGGGACTCTGGCCCAGCGACCCCGTTGGCTTCGCAGCAGCTGGGCAGGCGGGCACACCCGAGCCACCCGGCCTCTCCGAAACGCAGCTCTGTCTGGGGCGTCCAGAGCCCCTGCTGGCCCCCGCTCGGCTCTCGGGGCGCAGAGGGGCGCGGGGCTGGCCGGCGTCACACGTGCCTTCCCTGCAGAGGCTGCAGCTGGCGCTGGCCCCGCTGCACAGCCTGGCCGCGCTGGCCTCGGAGCACGGGCTGCCGGACCCGGGCAGCCTCCTGGTCCACTCCTTCCGGCAGCTGGACCGCGTGGACTCTCTGAGCGAGCAGATCTCCTTCCTGGAGGAGCAGCTGGGGTCATGTGAGCGCCGGCCACGCCCCCAGGGGGCACTGGGTGCAGGGGGGTGGGGGGGCTGAGGCTGGAGGGGGTGCTGAGCCCGCCTCCTTGTGCACCCCAGGCTCCTGCAGGAAGGAGCTGTGACAGGCCGACCGGCCTCCTGCGCCCCCGCCTGTGCTGGGCAGAAATCCCCTTCGTCTTCCTCAAGACTCGGGCATGGGGCGGGGCCCCTACTCCCCACGACCCCGGGGGCTTCCAGGGTGGGGAACTCGCCCCCAGTTCTTTGTCAGAATAAAAACAAGGCTTGATTGGCGGACGGAACTGGGCCCCAGCAGGCCCGGGGCTCTGTGTGTGTGTGGGGGGAACGGAGCTCCAGGGCAGCAAAGGGCCTGGTCCCCATGCCCAGGGGAGGCCACAGGGCCAGGCCGGCCCCGCCTGCACCTGGGGCCACAGGGCAGACCCCAGGCTCCTCCCCGTGCACGCCCCCTGGATGAGGCCCACCCCCCAGAAGGAGCAGGGTGTGTGTGTGTGTGTGTGTGTGTGTGTGTGTGTGGCTGCTCTGTGAGTGACCGCAGCGTACCCGGCACTTCCCAGAGTTCCTTTATAAAAATAACCGAGACAGCGTTGACAGCGAGCAGGCCTCGAGGCTGGGGGGAGCAGGCCCCGCCCTCCGGCTCCAGTGAGACCACCGGGAGGGAGTCCCAGCCCCTGCCGGCCTGTGGTCTGCGCACGCAGTGGGCCGTCCCCGCCTGCTCCGAGCCGTCCCAGGACCTGGTGCTGCTGCTCCTCCGCTGGCCTGGGGCCCTGGGCGCGAGGCCAGTCTGCCCCGGGCCCTGGCCCTGAATGACAGCCGGGCGGCCAGTGGGCGGTGCAGTGCTACTTGGCAGCCGGGGGGGGGGGGTCCCTCAGTCCGTCCTCGCACAGGCCCTGCCCGTCCCCCCAGCTGTGGCCGGGGCTACTGAGCGGCCTGGGCCCCGGACCCCTCGGCCGCCCCGTCCCCCTGGGGCGTCTTGGATATGTGCAGAAAGGTGCTGCGCATGGCCTGGTGGCAGGTGTCCAGGAGCGTCGGGACGTCGGCCACGGTGAGGCCGCTGGTGGGGACGGCGTCCAGCACTTCCACCCTGATGGTTCCTGGGGGGGGGGGGGTGGCGTCAGCCCGGGGCCCCTGCTCCTGCCGCCCACGGCAGCGTCTCCGCCCCACAGCGTCCCCAGCCCCCCTGACTTCCGTCCCCAGAAACCCGTGGGGTCTTGGATGTGGGAGACAGAGTTGGCTTCCGCCAGCCCGGAACTGGAGGGGGGTCGCGGGCGGAGGCCGTGTGCTCCCGGGTGCCCCCTGCCCAGCACGGTGCGCGCAGGCCCCGGCCACCAGGGACAGGAAATGAGGGGAGGCCGTAGGGGGCCACAGCTGCGTCCCGGGAAGCTCTCGGGGCCCCCAGCTGCCCAGTCCTGGTCCCCGCGGTGCCCACCCAGGCCCCGGGCATGCGGACCGCACCTGAGGTGAACAGCTTCGTGCTGATGTCGTAGAAGGAGGAGAAGGACGAGTAGACCACGGGGATGATGGGCACCTGTGACAGAGACGGGCAGCGGGGGCGGCGGTGGGGGCGACAGCTGCAGGTCTGCAGGAAGCCTTCCTGGGTCAGCCCCGGGGCATTCAGGGGCCGGAGGCAGCACCCTCCCTCCCCACCCGCTACCCCGCCCAGGGAGGAGTAGGGGGCGGGGCCTGCTGGTGCCTGGCAAGTCCAATGGCGTCCACTGGTGCCTGGGGTAATCATTAACCCCAAGGCAGCCACAGAGGCTGTAGGGAACAGGCCCTGGGGGAGGGGAGGGGGACGGCGGGAGACACAGCCCGGGCAGCCCAGGGACCCCAGGAGCACACGGCCTCCTCCAGGACCTGTCCTGCTCCCTCCCCTCCCCCACTGCCGCCGGCAAGGGGGTGGAGACCTCAGCCCCAGGTGGTGCTGGGTGGAGAGCCCAGGTCTCAGCCCCACCCCACTAGCTAGGAGCCTCTGGAGGTTTCCGAGGCCTTGCACCAGGGGGCGCTAGAGCCCACCTGGCTGGGCTGAGGGCAGAGAAGCTGAGACCCCAGCCCTGCCTGGACCCCTGCCCGCAGCCTGGGCACCCGTCAGCACAGGGGCAGGGTGGGCGGGGCAGCCTTCGCCCACCGGAGGCCCCGCCCACACCCCAGCCTCATCACCCCCTTCCCAGGTGTCCTTGGAACACACTACAGTCCCGAAGGACCCAAAAAGCCCAAAGTGCAGAGGTGGCGCCCGCGGCTCTCTCGGCCTAAGCCCCGGTCTGGCCCCACCAGGTCCAGGCTGCCCACTGCCAGGCCTCCATCCCCGCCGACACGGGCGCGAGGCTCCTGGGACCCGAGAGCCCGGGCGTGCAGGGGCCACCAGGGTCGGGGGCCTAGCGTGGGGGGGAGGGGCTGGCCTCGTGGGAGCTGCAGGGGCGGGAGGCCCTGGGGACAGCAGGCCTCTGCCCGTCCGGGCAGTCCCCTGGGCCTGACCCGTGCGGCCCGAGTCCTGGCCTACCTGGGCCTGGATCGCCAGGTAGAAGGCGCCTTTCTTGAAGGGTAGCAGGTCGCCGTTGGTGTTGCGCGTGCCCTCGGGGTAGATCCACACTTTGAGCTGCAGGGGGCAGAGGCGGGCGGCTGCAGCCTGGGCTGTGCCACGGAGGCCCCCGGGACCCCCCCCCGCCCCCCCGGCCCGGCCGGCACTCACGTTCTCCCTGACCATGCGCTCGCTCAGGTCGGCCATCACGCTCACGGCAGTGCTGGAGCGCTGGCGGTTGATGAAGAAGACGCCGCCCAGGTACATGACGAGGCCCACGGGCCCCAGGAACAGCAGCTCCCGCTTGGCCACCTGCACACAGCGCCTGGGGAGCACCTCCATGAGGCCTGCGGGGACACGGGACGCGGGGTGGCGTCGGAGCAAAGGCCACGCCCCCTCCCCGCGGCCCCGCCCCCCGGCCCCCCGCCCCGCCCCCCGCCCCTACCCATCATGTCCAGGATGCTCTGATGGTTGGAGATGATGACACACGGCTGCTCCACCTCCAGCTTCGGCCGGCCCCGGACCTCAAAGCGGATGCCGTACACGTACTTGAAGCCCCGCACGAACCAGCTGATGATGCTGTGGGCAGAGCTGCCGTGAGCCGGGGGCCTGGGGGCCTGCGGAGCCCCGCGGCCGCCGCCCCCACCCCAGCTGGCCGGCCAGAAGCAAGCAAGGCAGCCACTGAGGGTGGCCCTCCCTGCCCGGCCCCGGGTGCTCAGCCCGGCGCGGGGGCGAGCTGGCGGGCAGCAGGAAGTGCCCGGGCTGCTCCTCTCGGAGCCCGGGCAGAGGTCGCAGGGCCACGTGGGCGCAGCGGGGCCCCCACACTAACGCGAACCGGGCCGAGCGCGTCAGGCCAAGCCAGCGTTCTTCCTGCTCAACCGTGGTGCAACCCACTTAACGCCGAGTTCCACCTTAACCGCCATCGGGCCCGGCTCAGGGACGCCGGCACCTCCACGCCGCACCACGGCCATTTCCGGAACTTTCCACCGTCCCAAACCGAAATTCCAACCCACCCAACACTGACTACCCCTCTATCCCCCAGTCCCTGGTTCTTGGCCCACCCCACCCTGCGTCCGGGGAGCCGGGACCCAGAACAGCCGTCAGTCCCCGGATGGAAGCTGGGGGACGCCCCCAGGACCCCCAGCCGGAAGCACCCCCTCAGCCATCAGGGCACCTGGGGCCCCAGGTCCCTCGCCAGCTCCAGGGTCACCACGGGGACAGGAGGAGACGCCACTAGCACTTCCCCAAAGAGCGACAGCCCAGCATCCAACACCCGGGACCAAGGGCCGACCCGCGAGCCGGCAGACGCAGGCTGCAACCGGGGCCCTGCTTCTGGCCGGCACAGGGGCGCGGTGGCTCGGCCTCCGCTGTGATGCCCGCGTGCCTTGGAGAGCCGGTTCGGCTCCCGGTCCTCTGAGGCAGCTCCCTGCAAACGCGCCCGGGGAAAGTGCTTGGGCCCCGGCCACCCGCGTGGGAGACCCCGGTGCAGCTCCTGGCTTCGGCCCGGCCTGGTCCCGGCCGTGGCGGTCATCAGGGGAGTGAACCAGCGGGTGGAGGATCTCTTTCCCCCTCGGCCTTTCAAATAAACAAACCTTTAAAAGACAACAGTGGCCCTGCCCCATGCTTTCTGTGGGCGCAGCCGAGGGCCCCGCCCACCGGTGCTGGCACGGCGCTGGGCACCGTGAGCTGCTGGCCGTGGGCGCCCTCGCCCACGGGTTCCCTCGGGGCAGCTGGCAGTGGCCGGGGCACTTTGATCTCCAGGAATCCCGCCTGAGGCAGCGCCTGGGACGCAGGGAGGAGATAGCCCCGGGCGGGCGCACCCCCAGCCCCGGAGTCTGATGCCCCACACCTGAGCTGAGGGGCCAGGTGACTCCCAGGTGCACGGAAAACGTCACGGTCACCTTCAGGCTGCAGAGGGCGCTGCTGAGACACCTCAAGTCCAAAAAGAGCCCCGACCCCAACCCTGCTCCCCGGCACTGGAACCACAGCCGGCTGGACGGACCGCCACCCCCCCAGCCTGCCGCGCGGGGCACCTGCTGCGCACCAAGCACCCTGCCCAGGGCCCCACAGCTGCCACACGAGGAGCCCCGCCCCCCCGGCCGGGATGTCAGGGCAGCACTTCCTGCCCGGCTGCCTTGCCCTGGGCACCCAGTCCTCCTGTGTCCACACACACCGTCCCGCCCCGAGCTCCCACGGGAGTATGGGCTCCCCTCTCCCCCACAGGAGCCGGGGCCTCACAGCCTGGGGGGCAGGTGTCACTGTGCTAGGCCCAGGGCACGGTCCCAGCTGCCGTTCCTCACGGTCCCCCCTTCCCCAGCTTCTCTGGGAGCGCCACTGGCCACTGCCAGGCCCGGCGTCCTGGCTGCCCAAGCCTGGCCCTGGGTTGGACTGGGAGCGGGTCCTGGATCCTCCCTTCCCGCCGTGACCTTGGGCAGTGCCCTTGCCCTCCTCTCACTTCCCTTACCGCGTGAAAAGGCGGGGACACAGAGGTGCTACAGGGGCGGGGCTGGCACAGCCAGTGGCCCCTGCTGGACACCGAGGGGCCCCCCCGAGAGAGTGGCTGTGACGGCAACGAAAAGCAAAACCCCACATAAATCAAGGGGAAGCCCCCCTGCCCCCAGACGGCCCGGTGCCCCATGGCTCCACACCTGCCCGGAGCTGCCGGGAGGTCAAGGCCACGGCCAGAGCACTGCCCCGGCTGTCCTCGTGGGAGGCCGCTCGCTGACCCTTGCCCTCCGCTCCTGTTCCAGGAGACCTGGGCTGGACCCCACGGGCCAGGCCGGGCTTTCACAGAGACGAGCTGGGGCTCTCCGGGGCCTGCGCAGGAGCCCCGCCTCCCCCGGCGTAGGGGACGGCGCCCTGCGAGGACGCCCGGCATTGCAGCAGGTTTCCCGCCAGCTCTTGGGAAGGCTGGAGCTGCAGGGCAGGGGCGGGGAGGGGCGGGAGACTCTGCCCCCACTCACCAACGCGTGGCAGGGCCTGGCCCGGGCGCTCAGGACACCCGTGGGGAGGCCCGACCTCGTGGTCAGGGCCAGAGCCGAGCCGGCCGCACACAGGGATCCCAGTGTCCCCGTCCCACCTGCTGGGACCAAACCTCTCCGGACACCCACGAGTCCGCTGGCCTGCTGGGGGCGGCACGTGCTGCCCAGGGCGGGAACGACGCCGGCCCAGCCTTGGGGAACGGCTGGCACCACCAGGTGGCCGTTCCGTTTCGAGTCTGGTCCCGGGGGTCAGGCTGCACACCCCGTTCCTCTCCGGCCACAACAGCTGTGCCCCTGGCCCTGGGAACGGCCAGGCCAAAGCAGGCGGCAGCTCTCGGGGCCCCCGGCTGCCCGGTCCTGGTCCCCGCCGGTGCTCCAGAGTGCACTCCGTCCGTTAAGCGGCCGTTATCTGGCTTCCTGGCCCTGCGGGGCACCCAGAGGCAACACACACAGCCCCTCTGGGCTCTGGGCACACGGGGGCGTCCTGGGGCAGGGGGGCTCGCGTGCACCCAGCCTGGGAGGGGTGCTGCCCTGAGGAGCCCCTGCCTCAACAGCTCGGCCTCCCTGGGCACCCGGCTGCTCGGCCGTCCATGGGCAGGGGCGTGGGCAGAGTGGGGCCGCCCCTCCCAGAGTTCCCTGCAGAGGCCACGCCCCCAGCCCCTGGCCCCGGGCAGCACGCACAGGAAGTGAACAGAGTCCGGGCGGTGGGACCGCGGGCAGCTACCTCTCCTGCTTGCGCACTCAGGCCTTGCTCAAGTGGGGCACGTGCCATTGTGTTCCTCGCACCGGGTGAGGTCCTGGCCCACCCAGGCTCAGGGGGCCCGAAGTGAGGGGGGCAGGGGGCCGGTCGGTCAGCAGCACCCGCCACTCCCACCCTGGACGGGCCCCTCCCCCACTCTGCCGTCCCACTGCCACTCTCTCTGCTGGGACTTGTCAAAGGGACACAGGGCCTGGGGTGCAGCCCCTGCGTCCAGTCCTCCCTTGTCCCCGGGGACCCACAAGCCACCAGAACAAAGCACCTGCTGTCGCCCAGCCCGGCCCGTGGCCACCCGGTCAGCCAGACTCAGGGCGGGGCGCGCGGCCCTGCTGGTCTGGCCAGCCTGCCAGGCCCAGCCATCACCTCAACTTTGAAGTTCAGTCGGCAGCCGGGAAGGAGAGGCCAGGCCTCTAACAGACAAGGAAGCCGCCGGCCCTGAGGCCAAGTCGGGGCCCCAGGATCCCCGGGACTCCCTGCTGGCCTCCCTGGGCCAGCGGGCAGCACCCCCCCAGCAGGCCCTCCCTCCCACTCCGCAGCTCCAGGAGCTGAGTGGGGGTCCTGGCCCCGCCCCCCCAGCAGGCTCCCCCCAGGGAAGAGGCTGGACCAGCATCACCCAGCTGGCCCTGGACGGGGGAGGGGGCCCCGGGACACACACACCGGCGCCGCCCTCTCCCCCTCCCCCTCCAAGAGTGGCGAGGGCGGGAGCAGTGGTCGCTGCCCCTGGACCCCCGTGAGTCCCAGTGCCCTCTGACCCCGGGCCACGGCCAGGAGGCCATTGCAACTGCCACCAGCCGAACAGTCCAAGCGGGGCAGAGAGACATGTGGCAACAGCCCCTGGGGATGGCAGGGGGGAGAGGCCGGCAGGAGCCTCCCCTCGCGCAGCCACGCCCCCCAGGAGCAGCCCCCGGCCGACCGTTGGAGTCGGCCCAGCCCGCCCCCGCCCCCGCGCCCTGAGGGCACTCGCTCGCCGCCGGAGCCGGGCGCCGACTCCCCCTGGCCGGCCCGCACCGGGGCAGCTCCGGTCCGGTCTCCCGCCCTCCCGGGAAGCCGGTGCAGACGGGAGGGGAGGGGGCACCTGCAGGCGCGCTCGGACACAGGTGCATCCCTCCCCTGGGGCGGCCCGGGGCGCGGGGACCCCGTCCGCGCCGTCCCGCCTCGCTTTCCCGGCCCCGCCCCGCCCGGAAGGCGCCCGGCTCCCCGCACGCCGCGGCCGAGGCCCCGGCGCCCGCTCGCGCGGGGCTCTGACGCAGCTCGGCGGGCCCCGGCGGGGCGGGCGGCGCGGGCGCCCCCTCCCCGGCCCGCTTGCCTCATGTTCTCCACCGTGCGGCCGCCGTGGCGCAGCAGGCAGACGAGCGAGGCGAGCGCCGACACGGCCAGGCACAGCGCGCAGTAGAGCGCGATCCTGGCGCAGAAGTTGGCGGCGCGGTGCAGCCGCAGCAGCAGCAGCAGCCCCAGCAGCGCGGCCGTCAGCCAGGGCCACAGCTCCATGGCGCGGCCGCCACGCTGCCCCGACGGCGCGGCCCCCCCCGCGCGCGCCCGCGCCCCTTATTGCGAGGGCGGAGGGCGGGGCGGCCGGGAGGAGCGAGCGCGCCCGCCCCGGAGGCGGCAAGGTGCGCCCCGCCCGCCCGCGTCGCCCGCCCCGCCCCGCGCCCCGCCCCCGGGCCCCGCGCCGCGAGCCCCTGCGCCCGGAGCCGGGGTCCCTAGGGCGAGCGGGAGGCGCAAGGGCGCTGCTACCGCGCGCCAGTCCCGGCGCCGCGCGGAGGGGCTCTGGGGCCCCGCCCCGGCAGCCAGCGCCCCCCCCCCCCCCCCCCGGCAGGACGCCAGGCCCCCTGGGTCTCCACGGGAGGGGCACCTGGGCGGGTCGCCGAACCCCACCCGCGGGGCCCGGAGGGCGCGGCGGCGGCCCGGGGCGGGGGCGGGGCGCAGAGGGACCGGACGAGCTCCGAGGCGGGGCGGCGGGCGGGGTTCCCGGCCTCGGATGCCAGGGGCAGTGTGTCACCGCGGACGCTCCTGGTGCGGGGCCAGCCTGGACGTCAGGCGATTGTGTGCGCACCAGCCCAGCCTGGCGGCCAGCCGGGCCAGGCAGCCGTGGCCTGGGCAGCGCAGGTGGCCCCTCCCCGCGCGATCCTGTGCCCAGACGCCGCCCGGAGCGCAGCTGGCCGCTGCGTGCGTCTTCCCCTCGGGCGGGCCGTGCGCCCGGCTCTTGGGCCCTGCCTGGGTGGTGCTGGCCCCCTGCGCCTTCCAGCGGGAGGTGACCCGTTTCTGAAACCCCGCCCTCCCCCCCACCATGTGCCTGACTCCCAGGCCGCGGGCGGGAGCGCGCACTTCCTCTTCGGAGGAGCGAGGACTCCGCCCCGGGGGGCGGGCCGGCCCGCCTGGCCTGGAGCCACCGGCAGGTGTTCTGGGTCTTTCGGTCAGTGGTGCACTGTGCCACTGCCTCACACCGCCCAGTCTGCCGTCTGCCTCGGCCCTGGTCCCGGTCCACCCCGACGGTGGGACTGGCCAGCCTGTCTCTCTTCCAGTTCCTGGGACAGGATCGGCCCCACCCCAGGCCCGAGGGCCCTGGGCCTGCCCTGCTGAGCCTGGGCCGCCGGCTGGCTGCTGTGGGATTTTCTGCTTCCTCCACGGACAGCAGTGAGGCCCGGGAGAGCGTGCAGGCGGGCACAGGCAGCGCGGTGGGCAGATGCTGGGGTCTGGAAGGGGCGGATCCCCACGGCCCTGGGACGCCCTTGGTGCTGTCCGTCTCCCTCTCCCTCACCCCAGGGCCCAGAACGACCCCGACCCCTGGCACGAAGCTGGTGCACCAGACGGGCTCCGGCCGGCAGCCGCCGCTTCCCTGGGGCAGTGGGGGGGGGGGGGCAGGAATGCAGGGGCTCCTGACGACCCTGCTCATCCCCAGACCAGGGGCATTTGCCCGGTGACCCCTGCGCAGGCCGGTACCCAATGTCACCTTCGCCACCAGCGTGCTCCTCCCCAGGGAAGGAAGTGTGGAGAGCCGGCTTCCCTCCTGTGGGGCCGGGGGCGGGGCAAGCATGGGAGGGGCTGGGGGAGTGGCTCCAGGGAGCATTCCGGGCGGCCAGAGATTTTTCTGTAAAATCAGAGCTTCTCGGGCCCAGTGGATTAAGCTGCCACCTGGGGTGCCAGGTCCCTGTGGGAGCTCCGCCCCCGATCCAGCTCCCTGCTCCCGCACCTGGGAAGGCAGCAGAGTGGCCCAGGCACTGGGGCCTCCGCCGCCCGGGGGGAGCCCCGGTGGAGCTGCTGCCTCCTGCTTGGTCTTGCCTGGGCCTGGCTGTGTGGGCATCTGGGGAGTGAACCAGCAGGTGGAAGACCTCTCTCTCTGTCATCTGCATTTCAAATAAATAAATCTTTTAAACATTAATTAAACTGAGTTTAAAAGTTAATTTAAAGCCGGCGCCGCAGCTCACTAGGCCAATCCTCTGCCTGCGGCGCCAGCACACCGGGTTCTAGTCCCGGTCGGGGCGCTGGATTCTGTCCCGGTTGCCCCTCTTCCAGGCCAGCTCTCTGCTGTGGCCAGGGAGTGCAGTGGAGGATGGCCCAGGTGCTTGGGCCCTGCACCCCATGGGAGACCAGGAGAAGCACCTGGCTCCTGGCTTCGGATCAGCGCGGTGCGCTGGCTGCGGCGGCCATTGGAGGGTGAACCACCGGCAAAGGAAGACCTTTCTCTCCGTCTCTCTCTCTCTCACTGTCCACTCTGCCTGTCAAAAAAAAAAAAGTTAATTTAAAAAGGAAATCCAGTTCTCAGCGCATGGCTTCTACGTGTGTTTGTTCCCAGAGTAGAGAAAGGCGCAGGCCGGGTGGGCGGAGCCAGGGCCATCTGAGTCTGCCCCAACTCCCCGGGTGGGGGGTCCTGCAGTCAGCAGCTGCTGGCCCTCCTGTCCCCCGCCTGCTGACCACCAAGAGCTGCCCGGGCCTTCGCTGGACCCCAGCCCCGGGCATTTGCCCCTCTGCGTTGAGGCGCTGGCTCATCGGGGAAGCAGAGCGGGACCCAGTGCCGCCCTGGCTGCCGGTCGCTCCGGAGAGTAACCCAGCCGCGGGGCCTCAGTTTCCCCGTCTGTAAAATGGCTATGCTTGCATCGCCTGGCGTGGCTGGGCTGGGGGAAGCTCTCTGGGAAGCCACGCGGGACCCCACCCTTCCCTGCCCAGGGCGGAAGACTCGGGGGAGCCAGGAGCCAGCGCAGCTGGGAGGGGCCGCCCCAGGCCACCCCTGGGGTGGGCGGGGCGGGCCTGCCCGCGTGTGGTCCGGTCCCTGGGTGGGTGTGCACGGGGCCCCGGCTCTGCTCCACCACCTGTAAACAGACCAGGCTTGAATCTTTCATGAGCTCGAGCTTAAAAATAGATGAGGTGCCGCGTCCGGGCCCGATTCCCGGCCGGGTGCGGGCGGGGCCGCCCACAGCGTCCCCAGGCAGGCGGGCTCCCAGGGGCCCTGGCCAGGGCGCGCGGCGGGGCCCGGGCAAGGACACCGTCCGGAGCTGTCGGGTCATCAGCTGCAGCCGGGGTGGGGGCCGAGGGGCCCCCCATCAGCAGCCCCTCAGCCCCAGCCTCTCCTGCGCGTGACCTTGCGTGTGGAGGTGACACGGCCGGGCGACAGCTCACACGCGTGACGGGCTGGAGCTGAAGCTCAGACCTTGGGAGGCCGGAGGTGCCGGAAGGCTGGGGACGGCCCCGGCGTCCTGGGCCCACAGCACTGCTCAGAGCCGGCCCCCAGCGCTGCCCCGGGCCCCTGGAGGGCCTCGACCAGCAGAGGGCGTCTGTGGGGGTCAGACGGGCAGTGCGTGCTCCCCGTGTGGGGCAGCCTGACCCCTGGCCCAGCTGGCGTCCTGGGCTCAGTCAGCTGCTCTGGCCGTGCCCCAGGCCCCCAGCAGGGCAAGGAGGTCCCAGGCCCGGCTGTCACCTGCGCAGAGGTCATCCTGGCTGGGGGAGGGCTGGCATCACTCCCACCCCCACCCCCACCCCCACCGAGCAGGCAGCACCCAGTCCCGCCCAGTGCTGGCCCCCACTGCGCACCCAAGCCAGCCGAGGTTGGGAGGGGGAGGGGCAGGGGGAAGGCCCTGCCCCTGGAGCCTCCTGGTGGCTCTGGCCAGGAGCCCAGCCTGGGGACGCCGCGGCCCCCCTCAGTCCTCTGCAGGGGAGGCCAAGGCTGGTGGTTTGGATTCAGCGGGCCCTCCCAGGCTGGCCACCTCGGCACGCCCCCTCCGCCCGTGGCCCTCCGTGTGCTGTCCTCGGTCAGGGAGATGTCCCTGGGGCTGCTGGGCCCTGGCTGCCTTCCTCTGCCGGACGCCGGGGTGGGGGTGGGGTGGGGCTTGCTCAGGGCTCAGAAGAGAGCAGCCGGGGCCTGGCATCGCCTGCAAGCTGGGCCAGGCCTGGGCGGTGGGAGCTGGCGCCGGGGTCCTGCGAGGTCCTCCCGGGGTCCCCAACCTCCCCTGCCTGCCTGCACGCCCTCTCTTGCCGGGGGCTCCCCGAGGCCGCTCTGTCTGCCTATCTGCCCCGGCACTGGCTCCTGGTGGGTGCTCAAGGCCCTGGGGAGTGAATGAGCTGCACCAGGGGAGGAACGGAGGCGCCTGCCACTCCCAGGGTGCGGGTCGGGGGGAGGCCAGGGCGCTGAGCTGAGCCCGGCCCACAGCCGGCCCCTGAGCCACGCACGGCACCTGCAGGGCGGCCCCCGATGTCACCCTAGGAGCCACAGTGCAGCCACCACTGGGCAGAGCCGGCCACAGGCGGCCCAGTGCCTCCGTCCCTCCTCTCCCTGGTGGAGACCCTGGGCTGTCTAAGCTCCGGCTTCCACATCCCGCATGCTCAGACACAGGGTGGCGCGGGCTAAGCTACCACTGGGGACACCCACGGCCTCTGTCGGGGTGGCCGGGGTCCCGTCCCGCCCCAGCTCCCCATCCAGCTCCCGACTGGGCCCCGGCACCACGCGGGAGACCCCGACGGAGCTCCAGGCTCCTGGCTTCGGCCTGGCCCAGGCCCGGCTGCCGCAGGCCTTTGGAGGGTGAACCACTAGGTGGAAGACCCCCGCTATCTCTGCCGCTTTGCCTTTCAAAGAAATAACTAAAAGAAATGTCGATTCTATCAAAAACAAAATCAAACACTGGGTGAGTGACCCAGAACCCTGCCTCCGCTGTAAACCCAGCTGATTCCACAAGGACCTGCGACCTCGTGCGACCCAGGGAGTGCCAGCACGAGACACGGGCTGTGGCGGGAGTGGGCAGGCCCAGGGGGCAGAGGGGAGCAGAGGACTACCCGGGACCACCGGCCCCGAGGCACAGGTCACGCACTGCACAAGTCCACAGGGTGCCCGCCGTGCGGCAGACCCAGAACCGCGGCCTTTGGCACCCGCCACACCCTGCTCTACGGGAGTCCTGTGCCAGCCCCACCCGTCTCTGGCCCAGAGGTGAGAGGCAAGGTCCAAGGGCTGGGCCCCCACGTGGCCCCACCCCACTGTGCACCTGGGCCTGAGTCAGGGCCTGGAGCAGATGGGGCACCCTGGGGATCCAGCCGGACCCCCGAGAGTGGGAGGCACAGCCCCACCCGCAGCCTGGGAGCAGCTCCTGGGCTGTCCCCCCGGCCTGGGGTCCCCAGAGTTAGCAAAGAACGGGACTCGGAGTTCAGAAGAGGGGGTACACGGGGCACGCATCCTTGTGTGTCCCTCCCTGCGCTGCGGTATCACTGGTTGTTCACACGACGCAGGTCTAAGCAGGTCCGGGGGTGCGGGGGTGCGGGGGTGCAGGGGTGCCGCCTGCTGGGCGCCTGTCTTCAGCCTCCGGCCCTTCCTCCAGCCGGCTCTTCGGCGGGCTGGGCAGCACTGCCCCCTGGTGGCCAGACCCCAGAATGACGATGGCCGGCAGTGGATGCGCACGCGGCTCCCGGGGGCCCTCGCTGTGTGGCGGCCCACGTGGCACCTCTGGCCCTGCAGGCAGCTGGCCAGCAGCGGAGGGTATCTTCGGCTCGGCGGTCACCCCTGGACTGTGCGTAGGGACTGAGCACTGCTTGGGTCCCACCTGTAAGATTTATTTACTCATTTTGAAATGCAGAGTCATAGACCTCTCATCCGCTGGTTCCCTCCCCAGAGGGCTCGTCGGGGGCAGGAGCCCAAGCACTTGGGCCGTCCTCCTCTGCCCGCACCGGCGCGTTAGCAGGGAGCTGGATCGGAAGCGGAGCAGCCGGGACTCGAACCTCTGCCCCGATGTGGGTGCCGGCGTCGCAGGCGGCAGCTCAGCCTGCTGTGCCGCCAGTGCCAGCCCCGGGGCCCCGCTGTGCCCCCCCCAGCAGCTGGTGCAGTGTCCCGTGGCTCTGGTGGACAGACCAGGCTGCATCTGTGGCTGCCCCGGCAGCACTGTCCCGGGTGTGGAGTCGGCGGCTGGTGAGGATGACCAAAGAAGCAGCCGGGCCTGAGCGGGGCCTGAGTTCAAGGTCACACACTCAGGGGTCAGCAGCAGCCACACAGCCTGCGGGCGGGAGCAGACCACACGACCAAGAACTGGGGGACAGGGAGTGCAACGGGGGACAGGGAGTGCACACGATGTCTCTGTGCCCCCCCAGGGTGACAGTGAGCTCTGAGGTCCCCTGTCCCCCCCCCAGGGTGACAGTGAGCTCTGAGGTCCTGTGTCCCCCCCCCCGGGTGACAGTGAGCTCTGAGGTCCCCTGTCCCCCCCCCAGGGTGACAGTGAGCTCTGAGGTCCCCTGTCCCCCCCCCAGGGTGACAGTGAGCTCTGAGGTCCTGTCCCCCCCCAGGGTGACAGTGAGCTCTGAGGTCCCCTGTCCCCCCCCAGGGTGACAGTGAGCTCTGAGGTCCTGTGTCCCCCCCCCAGGGTGACAGTGAGCTCTGAGGTCCCCTGTCCCCCCCCAGGGTGACAGTGAGCTCTGAGGTCCCCTGTCCCCCCCCAGGGTGACAGTGAGCTCTGAGGTCCTGTGCCCCCCCCAGGGTGACAGTGAGCTCTGAGGTCCTGTCCCCCCCCCAGGGTGACAGTGAGCTCTGAGGTCCCCTGTCCCCCCCCAGGGTGACAGTGAGCTCTGAGGTCCCCTGTCCCCCCCCCAGGTGACAGTGAGCTCTGAGGTCCCCTGTCCCCCCCAGGGTGACAGTGAGCTCTGAGGTCCCCTGTCCCCCCCAGGGTGACAGTGAGCCCTGAGGTCCTGTGTCCCCCCCCCGGGTGACAGTGAGCTCTGAGGTCCTGTGTCCCCCCCCAGGGTGACAGTGAGCTCTGAGGTCCCCTGTCCCCCCCCAGGGTGACAGTGAGCTCTGAGGTCCTGTGCCCCCCCCAGGGTGACAGTGAGCTCTGAGGTCCCCTGTCCCCCCCAGGGTGACAGTGAGCCCTGAGGTCCTGTGTCCCCCCCCAGGGTGACAGTGAGCTCTGAGGTCCTGTGTCCCCCCCCAGGGTGACAGTGAGCTCTGAGGTCCTGTGTCCCCCCCAGGGTGACAGTGAGCTCTGAGGTCCCCTGTCCTCCCCCAGGGTGACAGTGAGCTCTGAGGTCCCCTGTCCCCCCCCAGGGTGACAGTGAGCTCTGAGGTCCCCTGTCCCCCCCCCCAGGGTGACAGTGAGCTCTGAGGTCCTGTGTCCCCCCCAGGGTGACAGTGAGCTCTGAGGTCCTGTCCCCCCCAGGTGACAGCTGAGGGTCCCTCTGGGACGGAGCAGCACTTTTCCAGGAGGAGACAATCCTGGGCCGAGGCGTGGGCACGTGGGTGCAGCCCGCCCTGGGGGCCGCGGTGACGGCCCAAGGCCCACGGGAGACCCGGGTGGCGCCGCTCTCCTGGCTCAGCCCGGCCCGGCCCCCATGCTGCAGGCTGTGGCAGCGAAGCCGCGTTGGTCCCTGGGTCTCTCCGTCACTCTGCCTTCACAGGACCCGGCAGGGAACTACTAAGTGCTGTGGACGCAGGTTCCGGGACACCGGAAGCAGTCACGGCGGGCAGATCCCGGCCGACTCCGCTCAGATGAGGTCCCCGGAGACGCAGACAGGAAGTTGTGTCCGCCGTGATCGACCCTGTGAGATGCCCGTGGGGTCACCCGGGGGCGGCCTGGAGCAGCTCTGGAGGCCAACAGCTGGCGGGGAGGTTAGGAGGCCCAGGGCAGCCCCAGTGGTCACTTCTCGTCCAGCAGGGACGGGACAGAGACTGTGGAGGCCTGGCCCTGTGACTGAAATGCCTCTCTGCCTGAGCCCCTCCTCCAGGAAGCCCTCCTGGGCTCTCCAGCTCACGCACCCTGCCCGCGGTGCAGATCGGCTCTGGCTGTGTGTTGGTCCCTCTCTCTCTCTCTCTCTCTCGCTCTCGCTCTCTCCCCTCTCTCCTTTCCCTATCTCTCATGTTGGGCACCCTGGGGGCCCTGAGGCTCTGTCCATCCATCAGTGATTAACCCAGCGGAATCCCAAGTTCATTGAGAAATTCCTGTTAGCTGCTGGGTGTCCCCTGGGGAGCTGGCCGGAGCTGACCGGAGCTGGCCGGCCTCTGTCCAGTGTCCCCAGCACACTTGCCAGGCCGGGGGTTCCGCCCGCTCCCCTGGCTGCCAGGCAGCAGGGCTGGGTCGGGCCTGGAGCCGCCTGTCCCTGAGCACGGCCGGCCAGGGGCAGCGGCTCTCACGGCCACTCTTCCCTCCAAGACAGATTCCACTGCCATGGCTGCCGGGGTGTGGGCTCCGCCCCCGAGCCCCTGCCCCATGCTCAGTGTGGTGAGACCCACAGCAGCCAGGACCTCCCGGACACGGACGGCCCTGGGAGCCAGGGGCGGGGTCCCAGGACCCCCCTGCAGATCTGCACTGAGCAGCTGGTGGGAGAGGGGTCCCCCCCGCCTGGGCCCTGGACACCCCCAGGAGCCAGCACCCAGGGTCGCCCTGCTTCTGGTGGGGACGGTGGCGGGGCGCCAGGTCCCAGGCCAGGGTCACACCACCACTGGGACGGCTCCGCGCAGCCCAGGGCGGCCGGACGTGCCGGGCTCCTATGCAGGTTCTGGCCCCCGCTGTGGCCGCGTCCCGGGCCGGCCAGGTCCTAGGGCTCTGGACGTTTGTCCCCATTCTCCCGGCCATGGATCCCAACAGGGGACGATGCATCCGGTCACTTCCCGCCACCTCAGCGCCAAGGTGTAGTGAGAGGCCAGCGGCACGTGGCGTCACCGGAACCACCTACGCCGGCCCCCGACTCCACGGCCGGCACAGTGCCGCGCAGGCCAGGGTCCCCCGTGGGCGCGGGCTCCACAGCCAGGCCAGGCAGCCCCTGATGGACTTCCGCCTCCCTGCACACCCGCCGCTCCCGTGGGGCACTTGGGGGCGTCTGCGGTCCGGCCCAGGCCTGGCTGCTGCGTGCCCTGGGGACTGAACCAGCCCCTTCAAGACGCAATGAGAGCGAGCGTGAGCGAGATGAGGCTGCGGACCGGCCCCTGCTCTGGAGCCGCGGGCGGCCCGGCGCGGGAACACGGGTTCTACTGATCGGTTCGGCACCGCCTGCTTCCCGAATCCCGGGCGATGTCACTCATCAGAGATGCGAGTGACAGGTGACAGTCACGGGAGACGCCCCCTCCCCCACGGCGACACCACCGCGGGGAGAGGAGGGTGCCGGGCCCCTCGCCATCCCACCCGTGACCGCGCCTGGCTGACGCCGCGCGCGAAGCGAAATCCGAGGCTCGCAGTGGCTCCGCCCTGCAGCGCCCCACACGCGTGGCCGAGGGCGCGGGGCGCAGGGGCCGCGCGCGGATCCGCACCCCGCGGCTCGCCGAGGTCCGGAGGAAAAGGCGCCGGGCGCTCGGGGGCCGGCGTTGTCCGCGGTGGCCGGCGGGGACTGCGGCTGCGCAGCTGGGCCCCTCGCCGGCGGGGGCTGCGGGCTTCACCGCGCGGCTGCCGCCCCCGGAGCTGCCCCAGCCTGCGGGGACCGCGCGGGGCCTGGGTACCCTCCCCGCCCCCGCCGCCGCCCGCGCGCGCCCGCGCCGCCCGCCGCCAGGCAGGCGCGCGCTCGCCTCTCGCGGGCCCGGGACGCTCGGCCCGCATGGCCAGGGAGCGGCGGCCGCGGCGGGCCGGGCCCGGGCTGAGGCCGAGCTGAGCCGCGGGGCCCGCGCGGCCCGGCCGGCGCCCACCATGCGGCGGCTGCGGCGCCGCGCGCACCTGGTCCTCTTCTGCCCGTTTGCCAAGGGCTTGCAGGTATGCGGGCGCCCCCTCCCCGCGGCGCGCCCCTCCCCGCCCTGCCTCCGCGCCCCCTCCCCGCCCCTGCGCCCCGCGCGGTACGCCTCCTCCTCTCTGCGCCCCACGCCCTGCGCCTGCTCCCCTCTACGCCCCCTCGCGCCCCCGTCCGCCTGCGCCCCGCGCCCCTCCCCCGCGTGGGCCCCGCAGTGCGCCCGCGCGCCCTCTCCTCGCCGTGCGCGGCCCCGAGCCGAGCTCCCAGCGGCGCCGACCCCCACCCGCCTGCCGGGGAGGGCGGTGTCTAGACCCGGGGATGGGTCCAGCGCGCGGAGACTGGGCCGCGGACCCAAGATCTGGCTGGGGAGAAGGGACCACCCCGCAGTTGCTGCGGTGGCTGTGAGGCCTGGGGGTTGGGTGAGGGGCGAGGGCTGGGCCGGGTGGCAGCCGGTGCCGCCCCTCCCCCGGCCGGGAGACCCCAGGGCCAGGGCCGGCTCCTCCTCTTTGCAATAACGTTCGCTCTTCTACTGCAGCGAGCTGGGCACAGAGAGGCGCCCTAGGACGTGGCCGCCCTGCCCCGGCCTCCCGCAGGCCACGCCAGCCCCCCTGGCCCTTGGGGGGCCCCTGGTCAGAAGTGCCCCCGGCCTCCTGGGAGGTCAGGGCCGTGGTGGGCCTGGGCCAGCCCTGAGGGCGTCCTAGGACGTGGCCGCCCTGCCCTGCCCAGGGTGGCCGGCAGTGCCCAGAGCTGGGCCTCCCTGTGGGGCTGGGTCAGGGAGGGAGCCCCAGCCGCCCCCCGCCCCGCCCCGCCCGTCCTGCATCCATGCAGGCCTGGTCCCAGCCTGGGTTCTGGGTGAGGAGCATGGGCCTTGCGCTGCCCCTGGAGCTCCCCTGCCCGCCCTCCAGGCCCCCCAGGAGTGGCCCCCTGGCCCTGGAGCCCAGGGGTAGGCTCTGGGGGGCGGGGGTCTCCCATTGAGGCAGGGGACCCACCTATGCGCCTGGGTCTGTGGGAGTCAGGGCTGCTCCTGGGGCAGGCCAGCTGGTGGGGGGAGGGGCAGGGGATGCCCAGAGTGAGCTGGCCCTGCGCCCCTCCCCCCACCCTGTCTCTGCTTTCCTGTTTTTATTTTTTGGAGCAACCTGGCGGAAACAGATGCGGTGCTGGGGACCGCGGGCCCCAGGCCAGAAGGGTGCCACTTCCCCACCAGCTGCTTCCCTCTGGCCTGTGAGGCTCCGGCCCCTCGCCTGGCCCTGGGGGGTCCTCCTGGGAGAGGTCGTGTCCAGAGGGGCCCCTGCCCCAGCCTGGAGCTCGCCAGGCTGCCCAGCAACGCCCCAGCTGTCGGGATGGGAGGCCTGGCGCCGTGGCCGGGCTCCCTCCGGGGCTCCTTGTCCCCCGGCTGTGGGTCGGGGTGCCCCAACCCCCTGCGTGGGGTCAGCCGTCTGGAATCCAGGCCCCGCTGTCCCCGGCGGCTTTGCTGGGCAGCTCCGGCACCAGGCCTGCGGTGGGAAGGGGGCGGCGCTCGGCTCTCCCCGGAACTGCACTTGGAACACCGGGGGCGAGGCAGTGGGCGCCCCGGCCAGGAGCTCGGGAACCCCAGGCCCTGCGCCCCCATCTGCAGCCGAGGGTCCCAGGGAAGACCTGGGGACCCCCAGAGCGTCGCCCCTGGGCCCACCCTGCGTCTGCCTCAGTGTAGCAGGTGCACAGGATCCGCCTGCACAATTCTCTCACCTCCCAGACTGAAACCGGGCGCAGGCAGCACCCCCCCGCCCCGCCCGCCGTCTGCGCTGGGCAGCTGTGGGGACCTGGGGCGGGGGGGCCCTTGTGCTCTGCCCGCTGTCTCGTGTGACGTTCCCATGGCTGTGCCCTGCGCCAGACTCAGGAAATGCCTTTTTTTTAAAGACCTATTTATTTATTTATTTGAAAGCAGAGAGGGAGTCTGGTTCACTCCCAAAATGGCCGCACGGCCGGAGCTGAGCCGATCCAGAGCCAGGAGCCAGGAGCCTCTTCCGGGTCCCCGTGTGGGTGCAGGGCCCAAGCACTTGGTCCATCTTCCGCTGCCTCCCCAGGCCACAGCAGAGAGCCGGGGCGGAAGTGGAGCAGCCAGGACTTGAGCCGATGCCTGAATGGGACGCCGGCGCTGCAGGCGGCTGCTTTACCCGCTACGCCCACCCCGGGGTTCCGCCTTTTTAGGGCCGAGTGCTGCTCCGTGGCTCAGAGGGACCCTGCCGCTCCTGCGCCCCCACCCACTGGCTGCTTGGGCTCCTCCGCCCCTGGCTGAGCGCCTGGGGTTGGGGTCCCGGTCCCGTCCTCCGGGCTCAGCCTGCAGTGGGCAGGCCAGGGCCCTGCTGGGATGGGCGTGTGGCACAGCGGCTGAGCTGCCTCTTGGGGCACCCGCTTCTCGTGGCCGAGTGCCGGTTCGAGTCCAGGCCGCTCCACTTCCGCTCCAGCTCCCTGCTCATGCGCACCCTGGGAGGCAGCGGGTGACGGCCCCAGTGCTTGGGCCCCTGCCACCCACACGGAGACCTGGACGGAGCCCCAGGCTCCCCGCTCTGGCCTGGCCCAGCCCTGGCTGTTGTGGGCATTGGGCATCTCTGCCTTTCCAATAAAAACTGGAAACATCCGTGTGTGAAAGGACGCGGCCGGGGCCTGTCTGGGGGAGGACCCCGCCTGCCGGCCACCCCCATGAGAACTGCAGGTGTGTGGGGGGAGCCGGGAGGGGCGCTGGCCCTGAGACCCCCGGTGCTTCCTCATGCACCCCCACCCCTGCAGGGTCGGCTGCCCAGCCTCAGGGTCAAGTGCGCCCTCCTGGTCTGGCTGGGCATCTTCGCGGGCAGCTGGCTGGCCTATGTGCACTACACGTCCTACTCGGAGCTCTGCCGTGGCCACGTGTGCCAGGCCGTCATCGTAAGTGTGCGGCCGCGTGGGGTCATGGGGGCGGGGCCTTCTTCCCAGGCCCCTCCCCCCATCCCCGGGGAGTTGGGCCCAGGGTGCCTGCTCTGGGTGGGGAGGGGAGAGGCTGACGGGGAGGGGGCTGCTGCGGGAGCCCCAGCAAGCACAGGCGGCTGCGGCCCGGCCTGTGTCTGCGGGAGCCCCGGCCTGTGGCTGGGAGGACGGGGGCGGCCTCCAGACACAAGTGGGAGGGAGGTCACTTCTGCCCGGGGCTGGACCAAGGGCCCCGTCCTGAGCTGCCCTCGGGGCTCCCCTGGGGCTGGGTCTTCCAGGCCCTCAGTGGGTGAGGGCAAGTGCTCACATGTGTCCGTGCGTGTGTACATGTGTTCAGGCGTGCCTGCATGTGCTGATGCGTCTGCATAACCACACGTGCACTCGTGTCTGTGCATGTCTGAGCGTGTTTGCGTGTGCTCACGCGTGTCTGGGGAGGCCGTGCAGGCACGGGGTTGGTTCCTGCTCTGCTTTCCCCATGCCCGAGGCTCCCCCTTGGCCTCCCTAATCCCGCTGCTCCAGGGCGGTCCCTGCCCACTGCCCACTGCCGCGGGCCCTGGAGGGAGGGGGCGAGCGGAGGCCAGCGCGCCCGTGTGCACAGGGCTTTCGGAGCAGCTGCCGGAACCCTGGCCTCTGCACAGAGGACACCGTGGCTTCCACTCCCCAGAGGCCACGCCCGACTCTGCTGAGTCCTGGGGGCTCCATCACCACCTGCGCTGGGGGGGGGGGGCGTTACTGAGCAGCTGGCCAGGTCCACACACCCGGGGCAGCGGGCAGCGCCAGCACTCACCGTGTCTCAGGTGCCGGCTGCACTCGGCCTGGTGCTGGACACTGGCGCCCACAGACGGGGAGCCAAGGCCGGCTGGTGAGGGGAGGGGGCAGGCTGCACGCACTGCCTGCCTCAGGCTCTGGGCAGGCACTCCCCAGCCTGGCCTGTCCCTGCGGCCTGCAGGGTGTACCGGTGGCAGGTGTACGGCCACAGGTGCGTGGTAGCAGACGCCCCCTCCCGTGTTGACCTGGGCAGCCACATGCGCAGGCCTGCTAGCAGGCGCCCGCGTCCCCTCTTCCCTTGTGAGCGCTGTCAAGGGCAGAGGCCCAGGCAGGGTCCCCAGCCTCCACTCTGTCCCCGTCCTGGTGTGGAGGCCCCCCTGGGGCCCTTCCATGGTTGGGACATCCCAACACCCTGTCCCTTCTTCCAGGCCTGGCGCCCAGCGCCATGGCAACTGGTGGTTCACACCCAGGAATTCACCCTGTGATTCAGGGGCAGCCGGGCCCCCTGTGGGACCTGGGGGTGGGGCACCATGGGACAGCCACCACCCCCAGCCCGTTAATCACAGGAGTGTGCATCTGGCTAATGAGGTGGCCTGGGGAGGGCCTGGCTGGGGGCTGTGTAGCAGCAGTGACTCAAAGCCGGCTCCATGCACGCCAAGGCCTGAGTCGGGGGCCTGGGCCCTCGGCCCTCTCACGGGTGCACCCTGGGGGCCATGGGCCTCTGTGGCAGGGGGCTCCACTGACCGCACGGCTGGGTCTGCCCGTGTGCCCCCGCTCTCCTGCTCACCCCAGGGGCATTGAGATCGTCCAGGGCAGGGGCCTGTGTCGCCAGCGTCCACGTGGGCACCCACTCCAGTCCCGGCTTCTCCTCTTCTGTCCAGCTCCCTTAATGCTGGGGCCCCTGCACCCACCCGGCTGCTGTGGCCATCTGGGGAGTGAACCAGGGGGTGGAAGAGGTCTGTCTCTCCTGTCACTCTCCCTTTCAGATAAACAATGGAGGGGAGGGGGTCATCTGCTGCTTCACTCCCCAGTGGCCGCAATGGCCGCTCAGCCAGGAGCTCCATCTGGGTCCCCCATGAGGGCACGGGGCCCCAGCACTTGGGCTGTCACTGCTGCTCTCCCAGGTGCATTAGCAGGGAGCTGGACAGGAAGAGGAGCAGCCGGGACTTGAACTGGTGCTCACAGGGGATGTTGGCACCGCAGGCCGGGGACCCAACCCAGAGCCACAGCACCGACCCCAGCACCATGAATCTTAATAAAAGCTCGGGGAAAGTGGAATTCAGGTGTAACACGCGGTTTCTGAAGTTGTGGGACTGTGCGTTCACGATGTCCCACTATTCCCACGGACTTTGTGAATGGGGAGGAGACAAGGTGGGGGTCGCTATGTCTGCAGCCCGGGCCACGAGGATAAGCCAGGCAGGGCAGGGGCCTCCGGCTGGGGCTTCCACTCCCAGGCAGAGCTGGGAGGCCACCCCATCCCAAGGCTGTGGCCGCAGGTGCCAGGGAGGGTGAGGTCCTGGCTCTGAGCCCACCTCCCCGCCACCCCCACAGCCTGTCCCGTGCCTTCCAGGTACCCCTGGGCTGTGGCCGGGCCCTGGGCCGGCGGGCAGGGGCTCTGAGGGCGCAGTGTGTGACCCCGCTCTCCTGGCTCCTGCCCCCAGTGTGAGCAGTACCGTAAGGGCATCATCTCGGGCTCCATCTGCCAGGACCTGTGCGAGCTGGGCAAGGTGGAGTGGAGGACCTGCCTCTCCGTGGCCCCGGGCCGGCAGGTAGGGCGGGAGGCCCCGGGCTGGGGGCAGGGCTGAGTGGGGGTCTTGGGCCAGCATGGAGGCCTGGGTGGGCGGCGGGAGGGCCACGCCTGCGGCCTCGCACAGGTGTACAGCGGCCTCTGGCAGGACAAGGAGGTGACCATCAAGTGTGGCATCAAGGAGGCCCTGGACGGCCAGGCCCAGTCGGACGCGGCGCCGCGGCGGGAGCGGGCGCTCTTCGACAAGCCCACCCGCGGCACCTCCATGAAGGAGTTCCGGGACATGACCCTCAGCTTCCTCAAGGTCAGCCGGTGGTCCTGGGGGCGGGGCTCAGGCGCTGAGCGGGTCCGTCAGGAGCAGGGGAGGGTGTGCGGGCCGGGAGCCCGCCTGGTGGGTGCGAGGACGCGTGGGCCGGGCTGAGGGAGGCGCCCACGGCCGCTCTCGGTTCCCACACAGGCGACCCTGGGGGACCTGCCCTCCCTGCCCGCGCTGGTGGGCCAGGTGCTGCTCATGGCCGACTTCAACAAGGACAGCCGCGTGTCCCTGGCCGAGGCCAAGTCCGTGTGGGCCCTGCTGCAGCGCCACGAGTTCCTGCTGCTGCTCTCGCTGCAGGGCAAGGAGCACGCGGCGCGGCTGCTGGGCCACTGCGGGGACCTGTACCTCACCGAGGGCGCCCCCCGCGGCCCCGGGCCCGCCGCCGCCCTGCTGCCCCCCGCCCTGCAGCGCTGGCTGGGGCCCGCGTGGCCCTGGCGCGCCAAGATCGCCGTCGGCCTGCTCGAGTTCGTGGAGGAGCTCTTCCACGGCGCCTACGGGACCTTCTACATGTGCGAGACCACGCTGGCCAACGTGGGCTACACGGCCACCTACGACTTCAAGATGGCCGACCTGCAGCACGTGGCGCCCGAGGCGGCCGTGCGCCGCTTCCTGCAGGGCCGGCGCTGCGCGCAGAGCGCGGACTGCACGTACGGGCGCGACTGCAGGGCGCCCTGCGACCGGCTCCTGCGCCAGTGCAAGGGCGACCTCATCCAGCCCAACCTGGCCAAGGTGTGCGCGCTGCTGCGCGACTTCCTGCTGCCCGGCGCGCCCGCCGACCTGCGCGAGGAGCTGGGCCGCCAGCTGCGCGCCTGCAGCACGCTCAGCGGCCTGGCCAGCCAGGTGGAGGCGCACCACGCGCTGGTGCTGCGCCAGCTCAAGGCGCTGCTCTGGGCGCGCATCTCACACACCAAGTACTCCTGAGGGCGGGCCGCGTGCCCGGAACGCGCCGCCCACGAAGCGCTGACGCCCCCCGCCCCGGCCGGGCTGAAGGTGGGCTCCAGGCCAGCGCCGCGGCCCGCCCCAGGGGACAGCACTCGGACACCCGTGCCACCAGGCGCCTTTATTGCGTTCCGCCGAGTCCATCGGCTCCGTCCAACCCCGTGTCCAGGCTCCGGCGTCGCTCGCCGTCCTCCGGCCGCACCTGCGAAGTGGACAGGGCTGGAGGCGGCCGGGCCGCGCCCCCCGTCCCGCCGGGGCCCGCCCCGCTCGTGTCAGGCTGCAAACCATTCTGAGCGCCCACGGTCTCCGGGCACCGAGCGTAGAAACAGCCACTTGCTCTCTGCCCGCGGCCACGCACAGCTCCGCGGCCGCTCCCGCGGCGGTGCCGGGCCAGGCCGAGCCCGCGGGCAGCGCCCCCCGCCCCGCTGCAGGGACGGGATGCCCAGCCCCTCGAGGGGGGGTCACGGCCCAGCCCCCGGGCCCCGAGCCTCACCTGGAGCCGGCGGCAGGCCACGCTCGTCCTCACGGCCCCGGCGCGGGGGCCCATCACGCACTCCGCAGCGAGCCGGCCGCCCCGCCTTCACGTCGGGAGCGTCCCACGCCGCCTTCCTGGGCCGGACAAGTGGAGGTGAGGGCGGCGCGCGCAGCACCGGGCCCGACCCCCACCCCGTCCGGCCCCACGCCGGGACCCCCGCGGTCAGCCGGGGGCGGGGTCCGAGCGGCCGCGCGGGGCCCGGCTGAGACCACGAAGCCCCCGACGCCTCGGCGCCTGCGCGCCGTGTCCGGCTACTAATCATTCGGGCGCTCACGGGCCAGAGCGCCGAGCGTAGACATAGCCGCGTCCTCTCCGCCACCTGCTGACACAGGCGGGGCACGCCAGCCGCGCCTGCAACGCCTCGAGGGGCAGCCGCCCACCGGGACCCCCGCGCCGCGGCCTCACCCGACTTCCGCGCCCTCCCGGGGCGCGCCGCGGCAGCCCCGAGCCCAGCGGGCCAGGCGGGAGGCCAGGCGGCCGGGGCCAGCCCGCAGCCGCGTCCCCTGCCCGCCGCCATGGCCGCCGGAAAGGACGGAACGGCGCCGCGGCGCAGCCTTTATAGCGCGTACGGCGGCCCACGAGGGCCAAGAGACGCCGCCCCGCGCCCGCCGCCGCCGCAGCGCCCTCTAGCGCTGAGCTCCGGCGAGGCACGCGGGGCGATCCGGGCCGCGCTGGCTCTGCCCCCACCGACCCCGGGCTGCGCGCGACCCCGAGCCAGAGTCTGGTTCCCCCGCGGGGGCTCTCAGCGCGCCCGCCCTCGTGGGTCGGTCCCCGCAGAGGCCGTGGCCCCTCTCCTGGCAGCCAGGTGGGGTGGGGGTGTCCCGTCTGCTCTGCCCACCGCTGGGGTTTGTCTCCGCCGAGCTGAGATTTGAACCTGGACCCCAGTTCTGACCCGGGGAATGGCGAGTCTGTTGCAGAGGGACCCCTGCCCTGCCCCAGGGACGACCAAGGTGGGAGGCCTCTCCCTGGAGCCGGTGATAGAGGGGCAGGGGCTTTGCAGAAACAGAAACCCCTCCCCCAGCCCAAGACCCCAGGGACTCCAACTGTGAGTGCTGGGCGTGTCTCAGGGCCTCAAAAAAAAAAATCTGTGCTTGGTGCCGGCGTCCCATAGGGCGTCAGTCCAAGCCCTGGCTGCCCCACTTCCGGTCCAGCTCCCTGCTGATGGCCTGGGAAAGCTGCTTGGGCCCCTGCACCCGCGTGGGAGACCTGGAGGAAGCGCCTGGCTCCTGGCTCCTGGCTGGCCCAGCTCTGGCCAGTGTAGCCCTGTGGGGAGGGAACGAGATGACGCAAGATTCTGTCTTTCCCTCTCTCTGCAACTCTGCCTATAAAATAAAATGCATCTTAAAAAATGTGCTTTATGGGCCGGCGCCGTGGCTCAATAGGCTAATCCTCCACCTTGTGGCGCCGGCACACCGGGTTCTAGTCCCGGTCGGGGCGCCGGATTCTGTCCCGGTTGCCCCTCTTCCAGGCCAGCTCTCTGCTGTGGCCAGGGAGTGCAGTGGAGGATGGCCCAGGTGCTTGGGCCCTGCACCCCATGGGAGACCAGGAAAAGCACCTGGATCCTGGCTCCTGCCATCAGATCAGCGCGGTGCGCCGGCTGCAGCGGCGGCCATTGGAGGGTGAACCAACGGCAAAAGGAAGACCTTTCTCTCTGTCTCTCTCACTATCCACTCTGCCTGTCAAAAAAAAAAAAAAAAAAAAATGTGCTTTATGGCCGGCGCTGTGGCTTACTAGGCTAATCCTCCACCTGCGGCGCCGGCACCCCAGGTTCTAGTCCTGGTCGGGGCGCCGGATTCTTTCCCAGTTGCCCCTCTTCCAGGCCAGCTCTCTGCTGTGGCCCCGGAGTGCAGTGGAGGATGGCCCCAGTGCTTGGGCCCTGCACCCCATGGGAGACCAGGAGAAGCACCTGGCTCCTGCCATCAGATCAGCGCGGTGCGCCGGCCGTAGCGGCCATTTGGGGGGTGAACCAACGGAAGGAAGACCTTTCTCTCTGTCCCTCTTTCTCACTAACTCTGCCTGTCAAATAAAAATGTGCTTTATGATCTGAAAGGCAGAGAGAGGGAGAGAGAGAGACAGAGCGAGGGGGAGAGGGAGAAGGAGAGCGAGCGAGTGAGCATGGGGGGGGAAGGGGAGAGAGAGAGACAGGAAGCCCCCATCTGTGTCCCCCCCCCCCCCAGCCTGGGGGAGCGCCTCCTGGTGAGGCCCTGCCCACCACTGCCGTGGTGCCGGCTTTGGCACTGGCACCGGGCTGGCTGCAGCTTGAGAAGGCCCTGCGCCTGCCCTGGCTTCTGGCCATAACCAGAGTGGGGCTTAGCTCTGGCTCTGGCCGTGGGGCTGGCCCCGGCGCTGGTGCAGAGCCGGCTGGAGCCGGTGCCCACGGCTGCTCGCTCTGGCGCTTTACACCTGCGCCGGCTCTGACCGCAGAGACGCCCGCGCTGGCCCTGCCTCTGGCTGCCGAGTGGGCTGCGCTGGCTCCTCCTCTGGACCTGGCGCTGCTGTGCGAGCTCCTAGTAGCCAGGACTGGTGCTGGCGACCCTGCCGGAGCCGGCCCTGGGCAGGTGAGGGCCCTGCTTCGCGGCGGGAGAGCCGGGGCGGCGCCCGCTTCCAGCGCCCGTGCTGGGGGTGCACAGCCGGGGCCACAGCTGCTTTGGGTCCTGGGCTGCGCGGCTCCATCGCTCAGCCGGTGCAGCGGCCGGCACTGGTGCGGCTGCAGGGCTGCAGCTGGTCCTGGTTCTGACCCGGACTCTGCCCCTGGAGCTTTCCCAGAGTTGGGTGTGGCCGGGGTGCGGCCGGAGGCGGTGCTGACGCCGGGTTTCCTTCTGAAGCTGCCGCTGGCTGCATGCGAGTGGCTTTGGAGCGAGCTGGCACAGAGCTGGTGCTGGAGCCGCCACGGAGCCAGCCGGACTCGTGGTGGCGGAGGGGACCCTGGCTCTCGGCTGAGCGCTGGCGCTGGAGCCAGCACTGCACGTGCACCGTGAGAGCTGGTGCAGAAGTCGGCGTGCTCAGTAGCGGGCCGAAGCGCTGGAGAAGGTTCTAGAACGAGCTGGCTCTGCGTGCAGAGGAGGGTAACAGGCGGGTCTCAGGCTGCCCCTGGCGCTGGCGCTGCGGATGGCACTCACTCTGGAGCAGGTTTGGTCGGCATTGAAACTGGTGGGGGCCCCTCCAGAGAAGCCCCTGCCCTGGGCCCCCCAGGTCTCTGCCCAGGCCACGCCCCAGCCTGGCACCTGTCCCCACACGTGACCAGGACCACAAGGGCATTGTCTCGGGCTCCGTCTGCCAGCACCAGCCCTGGGCCCCTCCGAGGACCGCACACCCCCAGCCCGGCCCTCCTCACCCTCAGGCTCGGCCTCAGCCTCCGTGGGCTCCCGGTCCCCCAGCTGGGTCAGGGGCGGGTGAGCACGGAGCGCCAGGGCCCAGCCAGGCGTGTGGGCTGACTCAGGCTGACGGGCGCCCGGGGCAGGACTGTCAGGTGCCCAGAAGCAGGGGGCCCTGGGAGGGGTGGGCAGGCAGCAGAGCCACGGGCTCACGGCCCCTGTGGGTCTGGGCTCCCAGCAGAGAGTACACCCAGCTCCACGTGCAGCCAGGCGGGTGGGAGGCCCTGGTGGGAGCCGGCTGCTGGTGCCTTGGGCCGGGGACCAAGTCTCGGGTGCAGCTCTGAGCCCCGGGCCCCTCCCCCACTGCCCCGGGGGGCCAGTCCTCCCTCCCCAATCTGCTCTCCTGACCTCCGCTGTCTAGGGGGAATCCCACAACTGTGGGAGCCGGGGGCATGGCCAACCCCCAGCCACACCCAGTGTCCTACCGTGGGGGCGGGAGCCTCCTTCATGCTCTGGGTGGGAGCCGCCCCCCATCCCGGGTGGGCATCCCGCGGCCCCTCCTCCACAGAGGTCTCCCCCACTTCCCTGGGGTGGGGTCCGTGAGATTCTTCCCACTGCTGGACACCCTGGGACCCAGACACATCTGGAAGGTGAATGGACGGCGTGGCCGGCTCACTGGTGTAGACCGTGTTCTGGTTTCTCCACCGTTTGCCGCTGTGAGCGAGGCTGCTCGCTCAAGTCCACGTCTGCCGGACACGGGCCTCGGGCGGGGGACCTGCTGGAGCCCGCGGCAGCTGTCTGCGTTTGAAGGATCGCCAGACTGCCGTCAGTGTGTTCTGGGTGTCCCCGTCCCGCAGCACACGAGGCATCCGATGGCCTCCGTCCTCGCCACCGCCTCTCCTTCCTGTGTCCAGCCAGAGCCGTGCCGGGGCCTCTCCCTGCCGTGTCCCCGCGTGGAGCGGGCGCCGGGTGCTTCTCGGCCACATGGACAACGTCTCTGGGGAGACAGCCGTCTCTCCTTTCCCCAGTATTTGAGATCAGCTCGTCTGGGGCCGGCGCTGTGGCACCGGTTCAAGGCCCGGCTGCTCCACTTCCAGTCCAGCTCCCTGCTAATGCACCTGGGAAAGCAGTGGACGATGCCCAAGTGCTTGGGCCCCTGCGCCCACGTGGGAGACCCGGAAGAAGCTCCTGGCTCCTGGCTTTGGATCAGTTCAGTTCTGGCCTTCGTGGCCATTTGGGGAGTGAACCAGCAGATGAAAGACCTCTCTCTCTCTCTCTCTCTCTCTCGGGAGCCTGGGGCTCCATCTGCGTCTCCCACGTGGGTGCAGGGACCCAGGGCCGTCTTTGCTGCTTTCCCGGGTGCATCAGCAGGGAGCTGGGCCAGGAGCGGAGCAGCCGGGACTCAGACTGGCGCCCAGCATGGACGCTGGCGGCACGGGCGGCAGCTCGGCCTGCGGTGCCCCGGCACCAGCCCCGGCTCCGCCGTGTGTGTTTCTGAAATCCTTGCTTCTTGTGCTGTGACCTCAATGTCTCGTTCACGACTGGCCGACCAGAGGTGTTGGGAGGGTCGCGGCGTGGCCTGTGCGGGGCGCAGAGGGGGCGGCCAGCGTTGGCTGTGGTGCATAATGTATGCACTACACATAGTAATGCACACGCACAAACACGCACTACACACACACCACATACATAATGCAGACGCACACAACGCACACATCACAACACACACAACACAACCTACACACAACACACACACTGCACATGTACAGTACACCCACGCCACACCACGCCGTACCAGTGTACGCACTACATACAACACACGAGTGCACCACACGGCCCACAAGAGAACGCGAATGGGTCACAGCTGAAGGCGAGAAACAGAGCGACAGGGTCCTTAGAGGCAGCACAGGAGGAACCCGGCCCCCCGACCTCGACAGTCTCTGCACACGCCTGAGGCCTCGTCCCAGACCACGGCCTCCGCCCGGCACAGGGCCCGGGCACGCTCGGCGGGAGCTGCTGGTGGCCACTGGGAACTTGTGCCGGAGAAAGCGCCGGGGCTGAGTGTGTGTGTCCATGTGCATGGCCGTGTGTGCATCTGTGTCTCTGCACATCTGTGTGTCCACGTGCACGTGGCTGTGCATGTCCGTGTACCGTGTGCGTGTCCACGTGGCTGTGCGTGTCCGTGTACCTGTGTGCGTGTCCACGTGGCTGTGCGTGTCTCTGGGGGGGGGCAGAGGGCTGGGCCTGCCTGGACGTGGGCTGGGCAGCTCGGCTGCAGCCGTCTCTCTCCACGGGGAGAGGAAGTGGAGCCCCTGCCCCCTTTCTCCCAAAACCGCTTCTGGCGCGGGGCGGCCAGGAGGGAGCACAGGCGGCCAGGCCCCGCCCTCCACGCCCCTCACGGGCTCCGCATCTCCTCGTGGTTCTTGGGCACAGCCACGAACCTCAGCTTCTTCATGACCGAGGGCCAGCCCAGCAGCCGCTGGTCCCACAGGTACTCGGGGGACAGCACCTTGGTGGGCTTGTGGTACAGCAGGTACTTGTTCAGGTGGCTCTCGTCATGCCACACGGCCTCGATGCCGTTGGCCTTGTCCAGCACCATGGCCTGGTGACAGGCGCTGGCCAGCCGCTGCACCTCGGCCACCGAGCCCCCGAACAAGGCCCCCATGTAGTAGAAGTCGCCCTCGTCCGGGGGGATGTACGCCTGGGAGCGCGGCCGCCGCTCGTAGGTGAAGGCCCGGCGGTCGGCTCTGTAGAAGCCGGGGTGCAGGGTGCCAAACAGCGGGCTGAGGATCTCCACGCCCACGCGGTCCCGGAACTTCATGTCCACGTCGGCGCACACCAGGTAGTCCACCTCGCGGCGGAAGCGCTGCTCCGAGAAGCGGCTGATCACCTCCATGCGGTGCATGGACACGTCCTGCCAGCGCGCGTGGCTGCGCACGGCCAGCACCGCCAGCCGCCGGCCCTCCCGCAGCGGCACGCGGGGCACGTCGGCCGGCCGGTCGGTGAAGACGTAGTAGGTGACGCGGTGGCCCACCATGAAGTGCTGCTCCGCCGTCTCCAGGAACAGCCGCAGGAAAGCCACGTACCTGCAGGGAGGCGACGGCAGGCGGGAGCGGGGTCACACCCACCCAGGAGGCCACGGGGAACGGGGTCACCCCTGCCCCAGGAGGCCACCGGGAGTGAGGTCACACCTGTCCCAGGAGGCCACGGGGAGCGGGTCACACCCGTCCAGGAGGCCATGGGGAGCGGGGTCACCCCTGCCCCAGGAGGCCACAGAGAGCGGGGTCACACCCGTCCGGGAGGCCACAGGGAGCGGGGTCACACCCACCCCAGGAGGCCACAGGGAGCAGGGTCACACCCACCCAGGAGGCCACAGGGAGCAGGGTCACACCCGTCCAGGAGGCCACAGGGAGCGGGGTCACACCCACCCCAGGAGGCCACAGGGAGTGGGGTCACACCCACCCCAGGAGGCCACGAGAAGCGGGGTCACCCCTGCCCCAGGAGGCCACAGGGAGCGGGGTCACACCCACCCCAGGAGGCCACAGGGAGCAGGGTCACACCCACCCCAGGAGGCCACGGGCTGCCTGGCCCTGGGGACACAGGACCTCCTAGGCTGCAAGCAGCACACGCCACCCTGTCCTGCACTGTCCCAGGGGTGTCCAGGCTGCGCCCCACTTAACCTCTCCTCCAGGTTGGGGAGGGGCCCCCAGCTGGGGGCAGGGAGCTGCGGCACAGCGGGTGTGTTCACGGCAGCTCAGATGGGCGGGCAGGTTAGACTCCCCCCAGGGCAGCTCAGATGGGCGGGCAGGTTAGACTCCCCCCCAGGGCAGCTCTGACGGGTGGGGCAGGTTAGACTCCCCCCCCTGCACCTGAGCCCTCCTGCTGGATCCACTGCGCCGGCCCTGGGGCGACAGTGTCCACTGCCCACAGAGAGCAAACCACCGCCCAGGCGAGTCCTGGGTGCAAGGCGGGCGTGGAGGCCGAGGTGTCCGCCCCCCCCCCACTCACTTCTTAACGGCAAACACGGTCAGTCCCACGGTCACGTTCTGCAGCCGGAACTGCTCGTCCAGGATCTCGGGGCTGAAGGTCCCCTCCCACACGATGGGAGCCAGCCAGGGGGTCAGCACGAGGACGTCGCTCCGTCTGCACAGGGACAGCCACGCGGCAACGCGGGGCCGGCAGGAGGGTGGGCAACACAGCCGCCCCCACCCGGGACCCCGACTCGGCCTCCGCCCCCAGGGCCGCCCCTTCCGGAGGACTCGGCAGGACACCAAGCCGAGGACACCCAGACTCCAGCCAGCGGCTCGCGGCCGGCTCAGCCCGCCCCAGCCCCGCTGCCCACTCGGGACCAGGAGGCCCCTCCCACTGTAGGAAGACCCCCACAGCCCCCAGGCCCCAGGGGGACAAGGACAGCAGGGGCCGGGCCAGGGCCAGAGAACAGGACAGGAGCACTGCGGCCGAGCCTGGAGGCCCCGCAGAGGACGGGAGAGGGAACGCCCCCCCGCCCCGCCCAGGCCCAGCGCCGCCCTTGCCCGACCCCAGGACACGCCCGGCACTCACGAGGGAGTCAGCGCCTTCGGCTGGGGGTACAGCATCCTGCAGGACACAGCGCGTGGTGAGTGCCGGGAGGGGCGGGGCGCGGGCGCGGGGGCGTGCACGGTGCGGCCCACACACGCTGCCTGAGCCCACGCGGTGCCTGTCGGCCACCATCCGGGGGCCCCGGGAAGGACAGGCTCAGTGAGCTGGGAGAGGACCGGGCCCCGCAGGCTGCAGGGAGGTCCAAGGGGTCCCTGTGAGTCCGTGTGGGCAGGGAGGGGCTGGACATGGCCCAGGGAGGGGCAGCAGAGGCGCGGACCACGGCCAGCTCAGCGGTCACAGGAGCTGCTCTGACGGCCCCCACCTGAACCCCGCGGGCCCCCCAAAGGCAGATGTGGAGGGAGAGGTCCACGGGGTCGGGCCTGGTGGGAAGATGAAGATTCAGGAAGCCCCGCAGTGACCAGGGAGCGGCCAGGCAGATGACCCCCCCGCCAGGACTCTGGTCTATGGCAGGTGTGTGTGGGGGGGTCCACAGATAAATACAGATAAGCCCAGAGCCAGGGGAGGGGCAGGCCCTGCCCCCACTGCAAGCTACACCCCACTTAGCCCCGCCCACATCTAAACCCCACCCACGTTGAAGCCCCACCCCCACTGCAGCCCGCCCACACTGCGGCCCCGCCCCAGGCCCCACACCCTGGCCAGGGCTCCCCGTGCTGCTGGCCGCCGCCTCAGAAAGCTCAGGACCCGCAGCAGGGCAGACCCGCAGGCCGCACTCGGCTGCCCAGACGCGCCGGACGAGGGCGAGGTCAGAGCAGAGCCGGGAAGGGGCCGCGGGACTCCAGGCAGAGGGCAGATGCGCAGCTGGGGGACGGCACAAGGCCACCGTACCTGGACAAGGCCACCACGGGCCGGCCGTCGGGGTCCCCAACAGCCACGCTGCAGAAGGAGAGCACAGGAGACGGGGTTGGCACCGGGAGCAGAGGCCGGGCCCACGTGCACAGAACCTGGGACCTGGGGACAGCGCAGGGCGGGGCTGCAGCGGGGTCTGAGCGGTCACAGCGGGCGTCCTGGGGTGTCGGGCCTGGCACTGTGTCCCGGTGTCCCTGTCCCGTCAGACACTGCTCACTAAGCACTGCCCAGCAGGGGCCACTCAAGGGCTCCAGGGAGGCCGAGTCAGGGCCGCAGGGCACGGGGAGGTCGGGCTGGAGCCAGAGCCGAGGGCAGCAGTGCCTGGGGCCCTCCAAGCCGTGGAGGGGCCGGGGCTGCTCTGGGCAGAGCCTGGAGGGGAGGGGCGGGGGAGCCCAGGGAGCAGCGACCAGGCCTGAGGCCGGCACCCCCCCACACTCACCCAGGCCCGACTCCCAGGCCTCCTGGCATCGGGCGTCTGGAGCTCAGGAACCCGTAGCTGCGGGAAGGGGGGGGGGTGTCAGGACGCAGAGCCCAGCCCCCCGTCCCCCTCCTGCACACAGCACAGAGCCTCCTGGGAGGCTGCCAGGTCCCGGCCCAGCCCAGGCGGCCGCAAGGTGGGCTGGGGAGGACCCTGGGGCTGGGGCTGTGTGGGGGCCCGTGGCAGCTGCAGGGTCCCCCCGCCGGGTGTGTGCAGCCTGAGGCCACGCCAGCGCCTCTCCTCCCTGTGCGGCACACGCCCCAGGAGCCCTGGCCGGACCTCACTCTGGGGTTCCAGGAGCCTCCGGAAGCAGCTCACGGCCTGGCCCTGACTCGGCTTCCCCTCCTGGCCCCAGGGTCCACACTATGCCCTGGAGGACGGAGTGCCCTCCCAGCAGCCCCTCTGTGCCCAGGTCAGAGTGCCCTCCCCACGTCCCCTCTGTGCCCGGGACGGAGTGCCCTCCCAGCGTCCCCTCTGTGCCCAGGACAGAGTGCCCTCCCCACGTCCCCCCTGTGCCCGGGACGGAGTGCCCTCCCCACGTCCCCCCTGTGCCCGGGACGGAGTGCCCTCCCCGCGTCCCCCCTGTGCCCGGGACGGAGTGCCCTCCCCACGTCCCCTCTGTGCCCGGGACGGAGTGCCCTCCCCGCGTCCCCCCTGTGCCCGGGACGGAGTGCCCTCCCCACGTCCCCTCTGTGCCCAGGAGGACGGAGTGCCCTCCCCACGTCCCCTCTGTGCCCAGGAGGACGGAGTGCCCTCCCCACGTCCCCTCTGTGCCCGGGACGGAGTGCCCTCCCCACGTCCCCTCTGTGCCCGGGACGGAGTGCCCTCCCCACGTCCCCTCTGTGCCCGGGACGGAGTGCCCTCCCCACGTCCCTCTGTGCTCAGCAGAAGGGAAGGGTGGGGTGGAGTTTGAGTGACAGCTGTCGCCGCCCCTCCCCACTGCTGCAGTGCTGGGGTGGGTGGCTGGGGGTGCCCCCACGTCTAAGGCTGCCCCTCCCCCCGCCCAGCACCGCAGGTTTCTTACCCAAAGAAGACCAGGAGGAGAAGGAGCCCAAGGAGCAGGGGCTGCAGGGGGCAGCGTTTTCCTGGAAAACAGCAGGGGGCGGCGATGAGCCCTCCCCCACCTGCCACCGCACCTGTTCCCTGTGCCTCACACAGCGGTGCCCCCAGCAGGCGGCGGGGGACCCCAGCCCGGCCCCATGTCTCCCGCCCCAGCCCAGCCCCAGCTCCACGCCGCTCCCCTCCCACTGCGCCGAGGGGGGAGCCGTCTGTCCCCCAGCTCCGTGCCCGGGGCTCCTCCGGCCTCTCCAGGGCTCTGGGCCCTGCCCCCGCTCGCCTGCCCTGGGCCCTGGGCCGTCCTCAGCTCACTGCTGGGCTGGGGGGGGTCGCCTGCTCACAGGGTGGAGGTCGCTGTGCCTGAGAGGCTGCTGTCCCCAGGTCGGCCCCTTCCTAGGGACTGGGCGCTCCTGTCTCAGCGCCTGAGTCCTGTGCCCTCGGAGCCCAGGAGCAGGGAGGTGGGCGCCCGCGGCTGTGTGCACCTCCCCCGTCTGCAGGGCGGGAGACACTGGCTGTGGGAAATCTTATTGGTGTTTTTTTTTTTTTTTTTTTTTTTTTTGACAGGCAGAGTGGACAGTGAGTGAGAGAGAGAGACAGGGAGAAAGGTCCTCCCTTGCCGTTGGTTCACCCTCCAATGGCCGCCGCGGCCGGCGCGCTGCGGCCGGCGCACCGCGCTGATCCGATGGCAGGAGCCAGGATCCAGGTGCTTTCCCTGGTCTCCCATGGGGTGCAGGGCCCAAGCACCTGGGCCATCCTCCACTGCACTCCCTGGCCACAGCAGAGAGCTGGCCTGGAAGAGGGGCAACCGGGACAGAATCCGGCGCCCCGACCGGGACCAGAACCCGGTGTGCCGGCGCCGCTAGGCGGAGGATTAGCCTAGTGAGCCGCGGCGCCGGCCTGGTTTTCTTTAAAATATTTATTTATTTATTTATTTGAGAGGCAGAGCTAATGAGAGGGAGGGAGGGAGAGAGAGAGAGGGAGAGGGAGAGAGAGAGACAGAGAGAGAGAGGGAGAGACAGAGAGAGAGGGAGGGAGGGAGGGACAAAGGGAGAGAGAGAGAGAGGGAGAGAGAGAGAGAGAGAGAGGGAGAGACAGAGAGAGAGAGGGAGAGACAGAGAGAGAGAGAGAAAGAGAGAGAGGGGGAGACAGACTCCCCAAACGGCCACAATGACCAGGGCTGGGTCAAGTTGAAGCCAGGAGCTTCATCTGGGTCTCCCACATGGGCGCAGGGCCCAAGCACTGGGGCATCTTCCACCGCTTTCCCAGGCCACAGCAGGGAGCTGGATGGGAAGAGGAGCAGCCGGGACTCGAACCTGCGCCCGCCACAGGGCTGGCTGTTTTTCTTTTAGGTCTCAGGTTTTAGCTGTCAGCTGCAGGCAGTGTGCCGCTCTGGGGGCTGTGTGGACGGCGGGGCAGGGGGCTGTGTGGACGGCGGGGCAGGGGGCTGTGTGGACGGCGGGGCAGGGGGTGGTGTGGACGGCCGGGCAGGGGGACTGTGGGAAATCCCTGCCCCTTCAGTTTCCTGTGGAGCCAGATCTGCCCTAAAGGTCAGGTCTGCGAGCCACAGGCTCTGTGATACGGTGTTGAGCCTCACTGGGGGGCGAGGGAGCAGTGACGTGGGGGAGGGGGGCCGCAGGCCGGGGGACGCCCGGGCGGCTGGCAGGTGTGGTGTAGACTGCACGGGCGCTTAGGAGGACAGTGGGCTCTGCCTACCCCGTCACCCAGGCGTGTGAGAAAGAAAAGTGGGCACGAGTGCAGCTCTGCCGGCTGACCCGGCCGTCCAGGGGGCCGGCGGCAGGGGGACAGGGCACTGCCCTCCCAGCAGGACGTCTCGGCCAAGGGTCCGCCCCCTGCCCTAACTCGGCCACGACTGCGTCCTGCCTTCCCCCGCCTCCCTCCCTTCGCAGACCCAGCCCCACACAGCAGCCCCCAGACCCCCGGGCTCTGCCCACTCTGCTGGCCAGGCCGTCTCTGAGCCTCCGGCTGGAGCAGCTGTTGAGACGGTCAGACACCGCGGAGGGCACAGCAGCCCAGCTCCGGGGCCCACGCCGCTCCCGCTCACCTCGGCCGTCCATGGCTGCTCGGGGCCCTGCTGGCCGGAAATCCGGAGGTGGAGGCCGCGATGCGAGGCGGAGGTCGGCCCAGCCGGCGCTCGGACTTGGAGCCAGATCCACCTGCAGGAAGAAGCTGGCTCCTTCCCCACCTGTGCCTCCAGGGCGTGTTTCTGATTTGTCCAGGACTGGCTGGGCAGCCGGCCAGGTCCACGGCCAGGACAGGAACGCAGCAGCCCAGCAGTGCCCGGGCCGGGGCATTCGGGCTCACGGAGCCTTAAGCGTATGCCGGCTTGTCTCCCGGACGCTACGCAGAACACTGACACGTACGTCAACTGTGACAGCCAGCGACGCTCCCCAGGACCCCGGTCCTGTCTTCATCCCTTACCGAGGCGGTCCAAAAACATACGGCTCTGCCTGTAACCGCCCGGCCGGGGCCCTGCATCGCCACGCCCGGTCGCTGGCCTGTCGGCACCCGATAGCCGACACAAACTCGACCGACCACTAGGAGAAGGCCCCCAACCCCTGGAGGGAGCTCCTGGATGTGGCCTTTAGGGGTCTAAGAGCTGGAAAACGGGACAGGAAAACTAAGTTGAACACGCTGGCCTCGGCCTTCCGGAACCAGCACCCCAGCACCCAAAACAAGGCCCCTGCTGGCCCTGCCTCCACGGCAGCCAGGCCGGGCACCGGGCACGAGGTTGTCCCTAGGGGAGGCCGCCGGCCAGGCCAGTGGGGCTGTCCCGGAGCCACCTCGACTCCTCGGGGCACAGCGGTTCCGATGAGGGGCCGGGTTCTTCCACCCTGGGCGGGGTTCCTGACTCAGGGAGAGGGCTCCGGGGCGTTGGGACGGGGGGCGCCCAGCTCCCTTCTTTTGCGCTGGACACGGGGCCTCTTTCTCTCTGTGGGCAGCATCCTCAGGCTGCACTCTGGACCCCGACACCTCTGCCAAAGTGGTCTCGGGCCTCCTCATCAAAGCAAGAGTCGCCCGACTCCTCCCCTGCGCCTCGCTCCGGGCAGGGTCCTTGTGATGCCACAATGCCCCACGCCCCTTCTTCAAAGTAAAAGTCTCACTCCACTGGAGCGGGCCTGGGCTCGAAACCAGCGAAACAAGGGGTGGGCCCTGCACGGGGGGAGCGGGCCCCCTCCTCGGGCCTGTCATGGTGGCCCTATGGTCCTGCAGTTTGGACCAGGCCTGTTTAATCTGTTCCAACATCAACGCTGTCTCTCAAGCCCGTGTTGAGGCCAGGCTGCCCCAGCAGCTGGCTCAGGGCTCCCAGCTCCTTCCCCGGGGGCCCCGCTGCCCCTGCGGCCCCTCCCAGCAGGAAGCAGCCACGTGGAGTCCAGCGTCTGCAATTGAGGGCAGTACAGCTCCCAAGAGGCCACCTGCCCCGCTCCACCTCCCCCGGCTCCCGGTGAGGCAGCTGGCACGGGGCAAGAGGAACGCTCCTGGCCTCCAGCAACCTCTGCTCCGAGGTCTCTGGGTGAGACCCTCCGCTGCAGGGCTGAGAGCGACGGCGTCTCTCGACAGGAAACCCCCGAGAGCGGCCACGAGCGTGCCCGTTTATCAGCCACCAGGCACAGACTTCAACAGGGGAGGGGGAAGCCTGGGGTGGCAACAGCAGTTCTACGGAGCAGAAGGGGCAGCTGCCGAACCCCCACCAACCGGCTGAGAGGCCACGCGGGTCACGGAGGCCCTGGGTGCCTTTGTGCAACCGGCCCCATGCGGTGGCGCAGTGGGTATCACCACCTCCCGTGGTGCCAGCATCCCGTCTGGGCGCTGGTTCGAGTCCCGGCTGCTGCACTTCGGATCCAGCTCTCTGCTGTGGCCTGGGAAAGCAGTGGAGGATGGCCCGAGTGCTTGGGCCCCTGCACCCGCGTGGGAGACCCGGAGGAAGCTCCTGGCTCTTGATCAGCCCAGCCCTGGCTGTTGTGGTCATCTGGGGAGTGAACCAGTGGATGGAAGAGCCCCCCCCCCCGCCTTTGCCTCTGCCTCTCTGTAACTCTGCCTTTCAAATGTATAAATAAAATCTTTGACGCCGGTGCCGTGGCTCACTAGGCTAATCCTCCGCCTGCGGCGCTGGCACACTGGGTTCTAGTCCCGGTCGGGGCGCTGGATTCTGTCCCGGTTGCCCCTCTTCCAGGCCAGCTCTCTGCTGTGGCCAGGGAGTGCAGTGGAGGATGGCCCAAGTGCTTGGGCCCTGCACCCCATGGGAGACCAGGAGAAGCACCTGGCTCCTGATCAGCGCGGTGCGCCGGCTGAAGCACGCCGGCCTCAGTGGCCACTGGGGGGTGAACCAATGGAAAAGGAAGACCTTTCTCTCTCTCTCTCTCCACTGTCTACTCTGCCTGTCAAAAAAGAAAATCTTTGAAAAAACAAAAGCTGACGCGATCCCCCCGGAACACCTGGGAGGCCCCTCTGCCGGGGGCTCTCGGGCACCGCAGCTCCTCCTGCAGCCAGCAGCCCGACAGTGTCCACGCCCCAGGGCCACCGGCTGCCCACGGGGTCTCCCAGTGAGGTCGCAGCCAGGAAGGAGCCCGCCAAGGCCGTTCCCTGCGACCTGGCCGTCCTGCCTCCCCACTCAGGACCCGGGGTCACTGTGACGAGTGACTTGTCCCCAGCACCTCATCTACACGTGGGGGCCCACACTCCGCCAAGGCTCACGTGGGCTGGCGGATTTTAGCAGGCCTCTGGAGACAGGGGGACCCCGAGGTGAAGACCATGGCCACCTCCCTGCAGGTCAGGAGCCCAGTGCCCGCACCGAGCAGGCACTCAGGGGCCCTGCCCAGCTTCCCCACGCACAGCCGGTCTCCACTGGACACCGCGTGGGCGGGCGGCTGGGTCCCGGCCCTGCCCACCTCTCCTGCGCCGTGGACATCACTCCCTGCGGCATCCCTGGGCCATGTGCCGTGGGCTTCTCCCGCCAGAGTCCTGTCCGTGGGCGCAGGGGCAGGCGCTGTCACCACTCTGGTCGCCTTGGTGGATGGTGCCGCGGCTCACCAGGCGCCGAGTGTTGGTGGAGATGGTGGGGCAGGTTCTTGTCTGCACGCAAGAAAGAATTCGGCGTGAGACAGGAGCTGTGGTGAGCAAGGCGGCAGGCCTAATGGGGGTGGGGCTCTCAGAACGGATGGGACAGAATCGGAGAGAGTGCGAGCGCCTGGTCACCCGAGCTGGGGACAGCGAGGTCACATGGTGAAATGGAGACAATGCACCTGGCCGGCCGGGCGGGCGGCTCAGCGGAGTGGAGAGCTGGGCGGAGTCTGTGTTCAGACTGGGGTCCACACGGGGTCCACACGGGGTCCAGTGGGGCTGGTAAGGGCAGGGGTCCACACGGGGTTCAGTGGGGCTGGTAAGGGCAGGGGTCCACACGGGGTCCAGTGGGGCTGGTAAGGACGGGGTCCACACGGGATCCAGTGGGGCTGGTAAGGACGGGGTCCACACGGGGTTCAGTGGGGCTGGTAAGGACGGGGTCCACACGGGGTCCAGTGGGGCTGGTAAGGACGGGGTCCACACGGGGTCCAGTGGGGCTGGTAAGGGCAGGGGTCCACACGGGGTCCAGTGGGGCTGGTAAGGGCAGGGGTCCACACGGGGTCCAGTGGGGCTGGTAAGGACGGGGTCCACACGGGATCCAGTGGGGCTGGTAAGGACGGGGTCCACACGGGATCCAGTGGGGCTGGTAAGGATGGGGTCCACACGGGGTTAGTGGGGCTGGTAAGGATGGGGTCCACACGGGGTTAGTGGGGCTGGTAAGGACGGGGTCCACACGGGGTCCAGTGGGGCTGGTAAGGACGGGGTCCAGCCCCCCCAGGACACAGGGCTGCTGCGTGTGGATCAGGCGACTCCCCCAGGGCTCTGCTCGGTGCTGTCGGGGGGAGCCCAGCTGGCCGGGGCAGAGGCGCCTCCCCCAGGCCTTGTCCTGGAGGAAGACGTGAGGGCTCACTGCTCCGCGTCCTCAGGCCAGGCGGCCCGCGTGGTGCTGAGCCGCGAGGACCCTCCTGGGGGGCTGAGACCCCCTCTAAGCAGGGCCTGGGCCGGACTCCGCCGTGCGAGATCCCGGGCTGGGCCTGCAGACTGTTCCCCTCAGCCCCTCTCACACAGGCTGGTTTCCAACTTCCTAGCAACACGAGGACCCCCTCCGCAGGGAGAAAGGCCCCCTCCCCACACAGGCCCTGTGGGGTCCTCACCCAGGGGCTCTCAGTGTGTGCAGGGGGCTTCCGGCGCCCTGCCGGGGAGCTGCAAACCCAGGTCTCAGATGGGGACACGGAGGCTCCAGCTGCTCTGTCCACCCGCAGAGCCCGGCCCCACCAGCCCACGGCAGCGTCCCCGGGTCACTGGCCTCCCTGCCCCAGGATGGCTGTGGCTGCCCCCAGGGGAGCCGGGTGCAGGAGGGGAGGGGCCGCACAGCACGGGCAGGGACTGAGCGCCCGCGTCCCCACTTCACCATGGAGACAGCGACACCGCACCACAGGAGTGAGAGGGACACAGCCGTGGAGGAGAACTGAGCACAAGGGTGGCGGAGGGGAAGGAGGCTCTGGGGCGGCCCTGGGGGACCAGGCACCGGGGCTGTGTCTGTGGCCAGGGCCAGGGCCAGGGCCAGGGCCAGGGCCAGGGCGGGGCCCAGCTCAGCTCCACGGCCTCCACAGCCCGGAGATGGATGGCGGGGGCAGACGTGGCTCCGGGGGGCCCTGGCTGGGCTGGCACAAACCCAAGCTCAGGAATGCAGGAGCTGATGGAGGAGGCACCTCCAGGTCTCCACGCACACAGAGGGCGCCTCTGCCGCCCGGAGCCCACCACGGGACCCTGCCCAGCCCTGGAGTCTCCTCCCAGTGGGAACCAGCCCCGAGCCCCTCCTAGGATCCCACACGCCCAGCCCGGCCCCCCTCACACTTGGGTGGGCTCCAGGTCCCCCAGCTGGGGCAGCAGCAGGTGGGCACCAAGCCATGCTGAGCTGGACGCGGGCCCCAGCTGGTGCAGGCTGGCCAGGTGCAGCCAGGCTCCCACGAGGGAGCAGAGTGCTGGGGACAGCAGGGTGAGGGGCCTGGCCTCTCCGGCCCCCTGCCCTCCCCTGGGTGTGGGAGGACGCAGCGGGTGGGCCGGGCTGGCTGGGGTAGCTGTGGAGGGGATGGATTCTCACGGCTCCCGGGTGTCCAGCACCCCCACACCTGCCCCCCTCCTCCTGCAGGCAACACCCCTGACCTCAGCCCTCAGGTGGGGGTCACAGGAAGTGTGGTTGGCCCCAGCCACACCCATGCCCCACTGTGGAGACCGAAGCCTCCCTCCTGGCCCCAAACCCACCCACTCCTCTGCTTGGCCGTCCTCATGGTCAGGCCCAAAGTGTGCCCCTAGAGGGCAGGGGGCACTGCCGGGTTCCGGGCTGACTCCCCAACTTGAGGGGAAGCCCGGGCGTTGGTCTGCGCTGTTCCTGAAGTTGCTAAGGGGCTGCACACGGTGGGCACTTGGTTGTTTGCTGAGTGACCTCACCGGGGGTCCCGGCCAGGGCCACCCACGTGGAACCTAGAAGGTCCAAGGCCACAGGAAGTGAGGCCCGGGGTGGAGTCCCTTCATGGGGACAGGAAAACTCTAAACAAGACGTCTTGTCCTGGGCAGCCCACTCCTCAGCGCCTGGCCCCGGGGAGCCCTGGCTGTGGGTCACCCCACATAGTCCCCGTGTCACCCAGGGAGACTGAGGCCCAAGGACCCAGCGGGGAGGCAGCAAACGTGGAGTGGACCAGCAGCAGGAAGCTGGGGACAGAGCGGCCCCCCCTCTGCCGGGCAGGCACCAGCTGCCCCACCGCGCCTGCCCCGGGTCCTCGCCCTGCCGGCCAGACAAGGCGGGCACCGGTGCAAATGCCGCTGAGCGGACGCCTCGGCAGGACCGGATCCCAATGTGAGCGGTCAGCTCCGGGCCTGGGGTCCCCCCCGCCTGCCCACTGTGACCGTCCCCTCTGTTGCTCTGATCCTCTGAGGGCCGTGGCCGACTGTCACCCTGGAATGACTGGGACGGCCGCCCGGCGCTCCCTCCCGCCCAGCCAGCCGTGGTCCTGGTCCCACCAGGCTCCCAGCCCTCCCCCAGCTCTGACCGTGGGCCGAGGCAGCCGGGCCAGGTGGACCTGCCCTAGCTGGCTGACGCCTCTGTGTGGCTATGGGGCGGGGGCTGACCAGTGTCTGCAGCACCTGAGAAGACCCCCAGGCCAGGGTGGGTGCTGGAATGTGGGTGCCTGTGGGGAGCAACTGAGACTAGACTGTCACTGGAATTCAGACTTATTCCGTGCATCCGCTCTCCCACAACATGGCACTGGGAGAGGAGTAAACTACTTTCACGCAGCTGCCTCATCAGTTTGATGACCTGCAGGAGCTGATCCTGCTCCTGATTGGAGGAGAGCAGCGTGCTCGGTGTGTGGGCAGCAGAGTTGGGATTGGCGGAAGAGGACTATAAAGGAGGAGAGACACCGTGCACCGGGAACACCTGAGCAGCCCCCGAGAGAGCCGGCCGGCGGTGTGCCGCTCCCCCGCGGAAGCAGGGAAAGCGGCAGGGGGAACCGCCCTTCCACGGAGGTGGAGGGGCTGGCAGCTAACCCGGGACGGCGTTGCTCCTCCACGAGTGAGGGCTGGCAGCTAACCCGGGAAGGGCCGGGCAAAAGGAACAGCGCAGGGTCCAGTGTCGTTCCTCCGCAAATGGGGGAGCGACAGGCGCCTGGGAACAGGGGGGCACAAGGAGGTGACGTCCCCTCCCTCCCTCAGAGGAAGGCGTGTGGGCTGAGACTGCCCCCCCCCCCAGCTGCGGTCACACCAGCACCACCCACCAGCACCCCAGCTGGGAGGCGGCGGTGCAGGGGTCACTAGGCCTGGGACCCCGGACAAATCCCTGGCCTCCCAGGCTGCCTCTGCCCCAGGGGGTCGTGCCAGCACCTGCTCCCCAGGGACCCCTCAGGTGCTCGCTGGAGCAGCCCCCACCCAGCAGCCTGGGCCCTCCTCCTGGGGGGGCAGCTCCTGGGGTTCTGCCTGCTGAAGCCGCCCAGGCGACAGCCTCCATCAGCGCTCACCCGTCCCACCCAGCGCGGGGGCCAGGCCCACCAGCAGGGCTCCCAGTGTAGAGGGAGGGGTGCCTGCGCCCCCGAACCAGAGGCCCCGCCCACCTCATGTGCACTTGCACCCCCGCTGTCACTCCAGGTTCTGCCCAGGCCCAACCCCACCCCCGTCAGGTGTGGGGGGGTCTCCTCGCAGGGAGGGGCCTGCATACGGCCCCTTCACAGCTCAGTGGCTCCCAGCTGGGGCTCAGCTCCCCGCGCCCTCCCGGCTGGCCACGTCCGGCACCCTGGGAGCCTCACCCAGACGGGCGAGGCCAGGCCGCCGACCCACCAGTCCCCGGGTTCATGGACGGAGGACGCCCAGTATCCTTAGGAACGAGGGCTCCGAGTCCCCACCGGCCAGTGCCCCTGCTGTCCCTCCGCGGCCCCTCTGCGCCTGCTCCGGCTGGACGTGCAGGTGCCGTCCGGTGGGCTCGCCGTGAGCCCCCTGTGGCAGCGGCACCCACTGCTGGCCTCACCCACAGTGCGGGCCACCCCGGCGCCGGTAGCAGGACGGTGCTCACCACGTGGCCCCCCCTCGAAACACCAACTCGCACGCGGCGGAAGCCGAGGCCCCACGCCGCACTGCCCGAATCCAGGCTTTATTTCTGTGGGGACGCGCACGTCTCTGCAGCCGGGAGCCGGCCAGAGGGTCCCAGGGCTCGCACCGCGTGCGGCGGGGGATTCAGACGGAGAGAAGCCGGGTGGTTTCCTGGAGGCGGCAGCGCCGGCCGCTGGGGCTCCCGGGAGACCCGAGCTCGAGCGGCGGCTCGGACGGCGGTCTGTGGGCGCCAGGCCAGCGGGCGGGGTCAGGCTCAGGGCGCTGGCTAGGGCGCAGGCCCGGCGCCCTGCAGGCGGTACAAGGCCTCGACCTGCCGGCGCTTCTCCTTGGCGCGGCTGACGGCGAGCCGGAAGAGGCGGCAGAAGAGCTGCACGGCGGCCGGGGAGTCGTCGTTGCCGGGCACGGGGTAGGTGAGGAGGCACGGGTTGCAGTTGGTGTCCACCACGCCCACCGTGGGGATGTTCATCTTGGCCGCGTCCCTCACGGCCACGTGCGGCTCGAACACGTTGTTGAGCGTGTGCAGGAAGATGAGCAGGTCGGGCAGGCGCACGGCGGAGCCGAACAGGAGGCCGGCGTTGGTCAGCAGGCCGCCCTTGAAGTAGCGCGTGTGCGCGTACTCGCCGCAGGCGCGCGCTGTGCTCTCCACCAGGTGCGAGAACTGCCGGCTGCGGCTCACGAACAGGATGACGCCCCCGCGGTAGGCCACGTGCGCCGTGAAGTTGAGGGCCAGCTGCAGGTGCGCGGCCGTCTGCTCCAGGTCGATGATGTCCTGGTTCAGCCGGCTCCCGAAGATGTAGGGCTCCATGAATCTGCGGCGGGCGGAGGTCAGCCCGCGGGCCCCGCCCCGCCCCCGACTCGGCGCGGCCCCGCCCCCGACACGCCCCCTCGTAAACGCGGGAGACCTTCCAGCTGGCCCCGCCCCGCCCCCGACACGCCCCCTCGCAAACGCGGGAGACCTTCCAGCTGGCTCCGCCCTGACTCAGCCCGGCCCCGCCCCCGGCACGCCCCCGACTCGGCCCGGCCCCGCCCCCTCATCTAAACGCCCGAGGCCTTCCAGGTCTGGCCACGCCTCCCAGGAGCCCGAATCCTGTCCGGGTCTCCCACTCGGGCGCCTGCCTCCCGTGTCCCAGTGGGGGCTTCACCTGCCCCCCCCCGCCCCGGCCGCCACTTCCGTCCCCCCCGCTCATCTCCAGATGCCCTGGACAAGGCTCGTCCAGGGGTGGGGCTGAGGCGTGTCCACGCCCCCCTCCCTGCGCACTGCTCAGCAAACCCCACCGCGCCCCTCCCCCGCGCCTCCTGGGCTCGACCCGGCCACCCCCTCCCCGGTGGGCTGCTGGGACCCCCCCCCCCCCGCTCGCGGCTGCCCCACGCTTCCCCTCACCCTCCACCGTCCTGCCCGGAGCCCCGCCCCCAGGCGGCGCCCAGCGGGGGCCCCGCGCCCACCCACCTGTGCCGACAGCCGGCTTTGTGGCCCAGGTGCACGCGGGCCTCGAACAGGCTCCTCACGGAGAAGAGCTCCCGCACGTTGAAGAAGTCGGCGTGCTTGAGCGGCTCCCGGAGGACCTGCTCGCGGACGTCCGGGGCCAGGCCACCGACACCTGCGCACGCAGACCCCGGACTCGCCCACGCGCGCCTCCGGCACCGCCACCCCGCGCCCCGGGGTCTCCGGCCGCAGGCGGGGAAGCTGCGGGGGCCCACCCCGGAGGTCCGAGTCCTGGACTCCGAGGTCCGTCACTGGGGCCCCCCCCCCCCGCCCGGACCAAGCCCCTCCCCGCCCGCGACCCCCAGAGGCCGCGGGCGCCCCGGGGTGGGGGTCCCGCTGGGCGGAGGTGCCCGAGGCCCCCGCCCCGCCCGCGCCCCGGGCCGTTACCGCAGTGGTCCTCGCGCTCGCTGACGGCCGGGGCCGGGCCGCTGCCCAGCGTCCTGCAGCCGGGCCGGACGGGGCCGCGCGCCACCGTCGCGCAGAGCTGGGGCCGGCGCCAGGCACCTGCGGGAGCAAGCACGCGTGACTGTGGGGCCGCTCGCCCCCCGCCCACCCGGCCCGCCCCGGGTCCCGGCCCTCACCCGCGCACAGCAGGCGCGACAGCGTGGCCGCGGCGGGCGCCATGACGGCCGGACGCGGAGACTGCGCTGCCCCCGGCGGGCAGAGCGGCCGCTGCGCGCGCGGCGACAGCGCCCCCTGCAGGCCCGGAGGAGCCGCGGCGCCAAGTGCGCGGGTGCCGGACGGAGCGCAGACTCGGGCCGGGGCGGGGGCTGAGCCGCGCGGACGCGCGCAGTCCGCAGCCGGGGCGCGCACCCCTCGGGCGCCTTGCGGAGGAAGTCCCGGGACCCCTCCCCCGCGCGTGCGCGCTGCCCCTCTACGGGCGCGTGGCCGGCCGTCGCTTAGCTACGGGACGCGCCCCGGGGACCCCGGCCAGTTCCCGCGGAGCAGCCATGTCCCAGGAGGAGCCCCCCGCGTGCGTGGGCGAAGCCGAGCCCCGGGCCCCCGCGGCCCCCGAGAAGACCAGCGACTACTACTGCGTGAGCGAGTGCCTGCCGCGGAGGTTCAACCACCCGGGGTGGTTCCGTGGCTACAGGTGAGGGGCGGGGGCGCCAGGGGCCGGTGGGCACGGAGTCCGCCCGAGGTCAGGGTCCCTGCGCACCCCGAGCTCCGGCTCCTGCGCTGCCCATGTAGCTCCCCGCGGGTGCGCGCCCCAGGGGGAGCTCCTGGCTCCTGGCTGTGGCCTGGCCCAGCCCGGCCGCGCGGGTTTGGGGAGTGACCCAGCGGATGGAAGCTGTCCCTCTCCCTCTCTCTGCTTTCGAATAAAATGAAAGCGTTAAGAGAAAACCGACACGCAGTCCGGCTCCCCAGCCCCTGGGTCATGGTGCGCTGGGGGAGGCCCAGCAGGGCCCAGCACTGAGAAGTGACCGGAAGCCCCTCCGTGTGGACGCCGGCCAGTGCCCCTCCTGGAGTGTGCGCCCCCAGCTCGCGCTGGCCGGCGGGGGCGGTGGTGGTGGTGGGTGTCCCAGCGGCCAGAGGCTGTCCCAGGGGCTGGCGGCATGGGGCCTGGAGGCTGAGCGCCGGCCCCAGTCCTTGCCGGGGGAGGGCGGGAGGCCGGCCGGGGCGGTCAGCCTCGCGGAAGACGGGCGGACAGCGAGCGTGTGTCACCCCCAGGAGCGCGCAGGCGGCCTCCATGTACAGGACCAGCAACCAGGTGTACGGGAGCAGAGCGCCCACGGTGCACGAGATGCCTGTAAGGGGCCGGGCGGGTCGGGGGTGGGGCCCTGGGGTCCCCCCGGGAGGGCAGGGCAGGGAGGAGCAGGTGGGCGCCAGCCCAAGGGAGTGGCGCACGCCTGCCGCGGGGCCCACGCGGTCAGCTGAGCGCCCGTGGGCTGGAGGCCGCCGTCTGTCTAGAACCCCACTTTGCTTCCTGAGCTGTGGGCTGGGACCCCAGGAAAGGAGCCCCGCTCCCCCGTGTGCAGGGACACATCCTCCCGAGGCGGGAGCCCACAGGTGCGTGGGCGGGCACGGGGCCCAGCCCCTCCCCCAGTCTGACCTGCCTCCCTGGGTGCCCCGCCAACACCCCCACGAGGACCCCTGGTGTGTAGTGGGGATGCGGCCCCGCCCCAGTCACACGTGGGATCTGGGGGCCGTATGTGGGGCTTGCCTGAGGAGGCCCTAGCTTCTCCGGGAACTCTCTGGAGCCTGTTGGAGGCGCGGGCCCAGCGCCAGGCAGCCGCGGCTTTTCCCGGGGAGCAGGTGCACAGTGCGGGGTCAGAGCCGGGTCTGCTCTGGCCGAGCCCGGCGCGGAGCAGGTGCGCAGCGCGGGGTGGGAGGACCCCGGCACGGAGCAGGTGCGCGGCGCGGGGTGGGAGGAGCCCGGTGTGGAGCAGGTGCACGGCGCGGGGTGGGAGGAGCCGGGAGCGCGGGGTGGGAGGAGCCCGGTGTGGAGCAGGTGCGCGGCGCGGGGTGGGAGGAGCCCGGTGTGGAGCAGGTGCACAGTGCGGGGTGGGAGGAGCCCGGTGAGGAGCAGGTGCGCAGCGCGGGGTGGGAGGAGCCGGGAGCGCGGGGTGGGAGAAGCCCGGTGTGGAGCAGGTGCACAGTGCGGGGTGGGAGGAGCCGGGTCTGCTCTCGCCCAGCCCGGCACGGAGCAGGTGCACAGTGCGGGGTCAGAGCCAGGACTGCTCTCGCCGAGCCGGCCCTGCGCTCCTGGGCCCGGTGTGGAGCTGTTGGCCTCACCTCGCGTGGGGTTCGCGGGCGGCTTTGTGTTCGGCCGTGGTTCTGCTGCTCTGCCCCCGGGGGTGCCTGTTGGGGTGCGCTTGCCAGAGCCCACGCACGGGATCCGGCAGGGAGAGCCCGCGGGGCGCCTGTGACCTCAGTCTGATGAAGGGTCAGCCACACAGGACGCACGGTGCTGACGACGGGGCAGCGCTGTGTGTGTCTGCATGTGTGCCTCTGTGTCTCTGATGTGGGTGTGCCTGTGTGTGAGCCTGTGTGTCTGTGTGTGTGTCTGTGTTACTGTGTGTGTGAGCCTATGTGTGTGTGTCTGTGTGTCTGTGTGTATTTGTGTATGTTTCTGTATCTGAATGTGCCTGTGTGTGTGTTTCTGTGTGTCTCTGTGTTCGTGTGTGTAGGTGTGCCTGTGTGTATGTCTGTGTGTAGGTGTGTATTTGTGTGTGTCTCTGTATCTGGGTGTGCCTGTGTCTGTGTCTCTGCCTGTGTGTGTGTCTGTGAGTCTGTGTATGTCTCTCTGTGTGTGTGTGCCTGTGTCTCTGCCTGTGTGTGTGTGTGTGTCTGTGTGTGTCTCTGTATGTCTCTGTGTGTGTGTGTGTGTGAGTCTGTGTGTGTCTCTCTGTGTGTGTGTGCCTGTGTCTCTGCCTGTGTGTGTGTCTGTGTGTGTCTCTGTATGTCTGTGTGTGTCTCTGTGTGTGTGTCTGTGTGTGTGTGTGTCTCTGTAACTGGGTGTGCCTGTCTGTCTCTGCCTGGGTGTGTGTCTATGTGTGTCTCTGTATGTCTCTGCGTGTCTGTATCGGTGTGTGTCTCTGTAATTGGTGTGCCTGTGTCTGCCTGGGTGTGTGTCTGTGTGTGTCTCTGTATGTCTCTGTGTGTGTGTGTCTCTGTATGTCTGTGTGTGTCTCTGTATCTGGGTGTGTGTCTGTGGGTGAACTTCCTGCCCGAGGTTTCTGTAATCTAGGACCTCTCTGGAGTAAAATCCGAGCGCTGCGGACGCCGTGTCCCCGGCACCTGCTCCCCACAGGAGCTGCGCCCGCCAGCGAGGGGCCGGGCTCCGCCTGTCGGGGAGGCGCAGGCTGCCCCGGGCGCCTGGGGATGACCCCCGCCCCCTGCCGCTGGGCGCGGGAACCTCGTTGCAGCTCCTCGGCTTGGCCTGCGCAGTCGTGGGCCCGGCAGCTCCTCGGCTTGGCCTGCGCAGTCGCCGGGCCTCGCCGCCCCACACCGGCCCCTCTGCCTTGCAGAAAGTCTTCTATCCGTATTCCAGCAAGTTTTCCCGGGAGTTCGCGGTGGGCGGGATGTTCCGGAGCAGTGCTTTCAACGTGGGCCTGGAGAAGAGCCTGGTGACCGGGCCCGGCAGCCACGTGACCGCCTGTGACCGCCGCGACTTCCACCCCAGCTACAACGCCAGCCGGCCGTCCATCTGCGACTGAGGCCGGCCGGCCGGCGCCCGCTGCTTCTGCCCTGAAGGGTCTTTGGTCCCCAGGATGGAGGGGCGTCCAGATGGGGCCGGGATGCCCTGCGCCGGCCGGCCGGCGCCAAGACATGCGGGGACGGCGCTCGGATGGTTTGCGTGGGCATTAAACATGTTGCCGTCCCTGCCTTGTGTGACCTCCGTGACCCTGGCGTCTGGGAACCAACACGCTGGGAGTGGACCACGCAGCCCCCGCCTGAGCTCTGCTGGGGTCCGCACTCACTCACGGAGGGAGGGAGGGGACCGCTACCCTCAGAGCGTCCTCGGCGCCCCCAGTGCCCCGGTGCCCCGTGCCCCGTGCCCTGTGCTTCCTGGAAGATGGCAGTGGAAAGTGAAGAAGGCAGGCGGGGGGGGGGGTTGACCTCCAGCGCGTCCTGGGTCAGTGTCCACTGTGGGTGCTGGGTCCTCCGTGGGGAAAACCCTGCCCTGACGGACGCACCTTCTGGAGCTGGGAACCCTGGAAGGCACGGACGCCGCCTGGAGGCACCCTCCTGTCTACACTGGCCGTCTCGTCTACACCGTCTGCTTCCCACGTGCTCCTCCCCGACCCTGTGAACTGAGGGGGAATTCCACGCCGCCTGGTGTCTCTTGGTGGTCAGAGCCCCCGTGTGACCACATGCAGGTGGAGGGGCTCAGGCCACAGGGGCTCCGCCCTTAGGAGGGACCAGGGTAGCCCCCCCCCGGCCCGCGAGCTCCCGCGAGAGCAGTTGTCCTGCTGGGCCCTGGTGCCCCGGGCGAGGCGATGGCACTGGGCCCTGGGGACCTCCCAGCCGCCAGGGCTCAAGCCTCGTAGGCCCTTGTTACCGCGACAGAGACTCATGCTCCTCGGATGCTTGGTATTCACACACAAAAGCAGACATTTGGCACCGTTCTTAACGTCCAGTTAGGGACTGATGTGGTTCCCAGGGAAAATCAATACATTTAGGAGAAGCTGGGATCCGTGTAGGGTCTCCCTCGGGGGCTGGCAGCGTCGGCCGTCAACAGGACCAACAATCATTTGGTAAACGACCAAGATGAGGGTGGGCATGATGGCAAAGCCGCCACCTGCCAGCCAACCGGGCTTTGAGTCCCGGCTGCTCCTCTTCCGATCCAGCTCTGCTGTGGCCTGGGGAAGCAGTGGAAGATGCCCGAGTGCTTGGGCCCCTGCACCCACATGGGAGACCAGGGAGAAGCTCCTGGCTCCTGCTTCGGGCTTCAGCCCAGCCCAAGCGTGGGGTCATCTGGGAAGTGAGAGGATGGAAAACACCTTCCCCCCACTCCGTCTCCCCCTCTTTCAAACGAAAAAAATCTTAGACCCAAATGCCAGGGTTGGTGTTATGGCGCCATGGGTTAAGCCACCACCTGTGAGGCTGGAGCCCCATTTGGGCGCCGGTTCAAGTTCCATCTGCTCTCTCTCTTTTTTTTTTTTTTTTTAAGATTTATTTATTTGAAAGGCAAAGTCACAGAGAGGCAGAGAGAGAGAGAGAGAGAGAGAGAGAGAGAGAGAGAGTCAGTCTTCCATCGCTGGTTCTATATCCAAATGCCAGCAAAGGCCAGAACTGGACAGATCTGAAGCCAGGAGCCAGGAGCTTCTTCCAGGTCTCCCACGTGGGTGCAGGGGCCCAGGGACCTGGGTCATCCTCCACTGACTTCCCAGGCCACAGCAGAGCTGGATCAGAAGTGGAGCAGCTGGGACTCGAACCTGTGCCCACATGGGATGCTGGTACCACTGGCAGAGGCTTTACCTGCTATGCCACAGCGCCAGCTCCAGGAATAGTGATTTTTCAAAAAAGACGAGACAGACTTCAAAATCAAACCGAGGCACTCTCGTCTGTGTGCCTTGGGAGTGGGCGGGGCCCCTGGGGAGGTTCGCACCTGCAGCTGTCAATCATTGGACTTGCAGAGAGCTCGTCTGACTCGCCCAGCACCTGGGTTTTTCCGCAAGGCGGATGCACACGTACCCAGGCTTCTGCACCTCTGTGGAGCTGTCGGACGGGGCTGCAAGCGCACGGCGGCCCCCTCCCCCACAGAGTCCTGGTGGGCAGGTGCAGGGGGACCGCTGGCCGTGGCTTCTGCCCTCAAGAAGGCCGGCACCTGCCAGCTGGACCCGGAGTGTGGGCGCAGAAGCAAAGTCTTCTCAACAGCTGTGGCAGGTAGAAGAGTCCTGCGCCCAGCTCTGTCCACTCTGAGGGCACGGGAACGGGCGGTCCCTCCCCAGCTGTCTTTTTTTTTTTTAGGATTTGTTTATCTGAAAGGTGGAGTTGGGGGCGGGGGACACAGTGAGAGCAAGAGAGAGAGAAAGGTCTTCCATCCGCTGGTTCACTCCCCAGATGGCTGCAATGGCCCAGGCTGGCCCAGTCGAGCCAGGAGCCAGGAGCTTCTTCTGGTCTCCCTTGCGGGTGCAGGGGGCCAAGGACTTGGCCATCGTCCACTGCTTTCCCAGGCCACAGCAGGGAGCTGGATGGGAAGTGGAGCAGCCGGGACTCGAACTGGCGCCCACAGGGATGTGAGTGCCGCGGCCGGTTTATCCCGCTGCGTCACAGCACCGGCCCGTCCAGCTGATCCTTCAAGGTGTCCGGCCACAGCTGAAACCGGCGAGTTGTGCCGCCTGAGCAGAGGGTGAACGAGGCCCCAGGAGCTCCCGAGTGGGTCTGGGCCCACGTGGGGGCCGTCAGGTTGGCGTCTCCACAGGCCACTCCCTCTGGGGGGTGACAGAGCAGACCCCAGGGTACCAGTGTGGGGGGCTGAACAGAGATGTCCTAGACTCCCCCCGCAGCGAGGCAACCCCGGCTCTGCAGGGGGCCCTGTAAGAGGGAACGAGGCCTCCCCCAGGGCAGGCGCCGAGAAGCCCCCGTTGCTACACACAGGGCCGCAGGCAGGCAAAGCAGAGGCCGACTCAGGGCGGAGCTCGGTTTATTTGTATGAAAAAGCCGTTCTCGTACAAAACCAGCTGGTCTGCGTCTCCGAGGGTTCACGGCGCCTGCAGAAAATGGAACGGAACTTAAAGCGCGGGTCTCACGGAGCCGCTCTGCCCAGAAGCACTTGGTGGACGGACGGATGGACGGACGGACAGGCCCCCATGAGGACAGCAGGCCCGCGGCCGGAAGGCAGGGGACGGCCTTGGGGGCCGGGCTCAACCCCGGGGGCGTGGCCGCCCGTGCTGGACGCCAGCGGCCGATGGACAGTCACAGCGCAGGTGTTACGGCCGCCGGAGCCGCCTCAGGGCAGAAGGCACAGAAGTGAAGTCAGTGGCGCTGGTGGAGCCAAGGCCACCGCCTCCAACCACCCTGCAGCGCTGCCAGGGCCACGGGGGCCACGGCGTGGACGGCACTGCCCGGGCCACGTGGGCCAGGCGCCAGGCCTAGAGGGTAGGTGTGGGGAAGGCCCTCAGCCCCTGGTGTCTGGGGAGCGGGGCCCTGGAGTTAACTCCAGCAGCGCCCACGCCCGCTACAGACCCGGGACAGGAAGTGCCGAGCGGGGACACACCGCCGCCTTTCGGAGCCGTAACCGAGCGAGGTCAGTGTGGGGGTCAGGGCCCCAGCGGCGGGAGAGCGGGCACACAGGGAGGCAGGCCTGGGACCAGCCGTGCCCCCGCCCGTAATTCTGCTTGCAGGGGCCACTGCGCGCCGCCCACCTCGGGAGCCTCAGGCTGGGCCCGCAGGTGCGGCACAGACAGCGGCGGAGGGCGAGAACCAAACGTCGGTGACCCTAAGACGCACACGCAGACCATAGAGACCCGCAGGCCCTACAAAACTCGACACAGTATCTTCCAAAAATACTTTTTACAGTACTTTAAATAATTTACAAAGAGCTACAAAAGTCATATTTACTGGGACACATCTGTTAAATAAAAACCTCGTCTCGCGTTAGCGTACACGTACGTGGGGCCCACCGAGGGCCGCAGGTGTCGCCCGCGCACAGGTGGGCACGCGCACCTGCCTCCCGCACCAGGGACAGCCCCACAGCTGCCCTTCACGGCCGCGCCCCCACCCCGTCCTCCACGGAGGCGTCGCTCAGCTCGCTGGCGTCGCTGCCCAGGGCCTCCGGGTCCTGGGGGTCGGTGTTGCCAGCCCCGGGCCGATACCGCAGGTCTGCACAGGGCCCGCCCGAGCCCGAGCCCCTCCTGTCCTGGGAGCTGAGCCCGGCCTGCGCCTTCCTTCCAGGCCAGGGCCCGGCTTCCTTCCCCAGCAGGTGCGAGCCCCCGAACACGGGGCTGTGGCCGGCCGGGGCCTCCCGGAAGGCAGAGAAGCGGGGGCTCTGCAGCGGCAGCCCCAGGTGGGCACTGAAGAGGCCGGGGTGCTTGCCCCCCCAGGACACGCCCCTCCCAAAGTGGAACAGCTGGGTGGACAGCAGGGGAGAGAAGCCGGAGAAGGACGGGCCCTTCCTGGGGTCCAGCGTGAGCCCCAGGGGGCCCCGGGCCGGCCCCTCGGCCCCCTTCTCCTTCTCACCCCCGAGGCCCACGGTCCACGCCGAGCCCTTGCCCTCTGAGCTCAGCGCCCACGGGCTG